ATCTCTCTTTTTCCACCAAGGCTTCTGCCTCTGATACAGAGCAACAGCCTCAATTTGGAAATGGGAAGAGTCTAGATGAACTTCCCTATGCCTCGGTTCAGTGATAGAGGGGGCCCGATCAGTTACAACTCGTTCTCGGTTGACGCCAAGACGAGCGTAGTTGATGCCGACGTTGGTCTCGTCCCGCTCTGAAAAAGAAGAGGGAAAAGGTCAGTTCAGTTAGGTTGGCACAGCATAAAAGAGCGAAGTGAAAACGGAGGAAAAGAGATAATTAAAAGGCCTCGGCCCCAGCCGAAGAAGCTTACCATCCCTAAACTTTCGGCTGAGGCCGACAGCTGCTAACAGGTTCTCTTGGAAAACATAATGCGTATCGGGGAGCCAAGTCTCCGGGATATGCTGCATTCGACCGCTGCCCCCCCGGTTCGACAGCTTGCCGAAGATGTTCTGTTGATTAAGGTTCGGATCTGGGTCGTTATCTTCGGGGGGACCTAAACTTCCCATGTCGGGATCAGGCTCAGCAAGATACCGGGGAGCGCTGAAGACGCAAGGGTGGCCCGGGTCCGTGGGCGCCCTAACCCAAATCCATTGACCTCTCCAGTCCTTGTCTGAAGAGTCGTTCGGCCACATGGTTAGGTACTGGGGCCGAGACTCAATCCGGTACCACCCAGAACCGTGACTTCCGTGCCCACTTTGAATATTTGGCACTAGCCGATGGAGCTTTTTGAAGCAGTGCAGGTTCGGCACATACCTGAAGAACTTGCCCCCATAAGTATGTCATCACCCTTCGGATGCTAATGGGAGTTAGCTGACATAGGGAAATATTATAGTGGATCAGCAAGTCTCGGACAAATACGTCCAAAGGGAACCTCAGCCCATACTGAAGTTGTCTTGTGTACACCCCCACATACCCCGGGGGTGGACGATGGATTCTATCGGATGCCACGGGCATTCGGCACCAATACCCATCAGCTTCAAGGATGCCGTAATGCAACTCAATCTGTTCGACAAACCGATACTGTTCAGCATTCTCCACCCACCATGAGTAGGGGCGGTTCTTTATCATGGCCGAAGCTACTTCAGCATCCTCCCACTCCGAAAACCCAGGAAGGATGTCCCAAAGGATGGCGGGAACTTCATCGTCCCGCCCAGAAGCGCTCGGCCCCTCCGTTCTCTGAGGAGGAGCCGAAGAAATGGGAGTCGCCCTAATCCCTTCAGCAGGATCAGGCTCTGCTCTCTGTCCATTCCAGGTCCCAATCCTGTTCCTGGGATCGGGAATTGGCCTTGCTCTTCTTAGAGCACGGGCTCTACCTCTAACTCCTCTCACCATGGATGAGTTTCGAAGAAAAAAGTCGAAAAAAGGGGAAGGAGTTCAAATTCGAAGAAAAATAAACTAAAATCAAAGGAATTTACCTTAATCTGAAGCGAAAGTTGCCGATTTACGAATTGGTAGTGACGAGTCTCAGTTTCTAAGCTTAATGCTCGGGGAATTTGCGAAGTTTTGACGCGGGTTCTTGGGCTCTCTCGAGAATTCTTGGTTTGTGTTGGTGAATAAGTGAGGAGAGATGACGCACCTCTAATTATATCTCCAGAAATGGGAATTCTGGGAGTCCGCGTTTCAATTTCTCTTAAACACCCCACTAAGTAACCGTTAAACACACGACCTTGCGATTAAACTGCCCATTATCCGTCCAACTTCCACAATTATTCGCCTTAACTGTTGTTATCTCATTAATTACGGTTTAAATTCAAATTTCTTGGATTAATTAAATCATTCACTTCCCTCCTTTTCTGATTAATCAAACCCGACCCGTCATCCTGCCAAATCGGGTCTGGGGGGCAAGTTGTTTGGGTCCAATTTAGTCCAATTGGGCCTAGTCATTAAATGATCCAATTAAAAGCCCAAGGTCAAGGTTCAACTCTCCAATTGTGCTAAAGTCAAGATCAGTCCACAAGGCAAGTCAATTGGGCTAAGGCCCAACTTCTCTATATATGCAAAGGTATAAAAGCCATCAATATTACATTTGTACATTCATTCAAACAAAGCCTCAAGTAATTAATTCTCTTACATAGCATTCTCTTTCTACACACTGTACTGACTTTAGCATCGGAGGGGCCTTCCTCGGCAACACCCCCGAGGCTAGTTTACGTGTGTTTACTGTGCAGGAAACCTTCGGCCCAACATCACTTGGACCGAATCCAGTCTTCTTCACTTCATCGGACCTTCGACAAGGTCCCATTGTTTTCACCCGAAACAGTACATATATGTTAACGCTTCAGAGAATAGAAGAGGAAGGTAAGGAAATCTCTTACACCCAAATTGATGATGAGGCCCGAATTTATGAGCTGAAAATGAGATAGTGGTTTTCCTACCAAGTATCAACTCTACCAAAACTGTTACTTTTTCCTAGTTAGTTATTGTCAAGCGAGCTATGAACTAAACCCATATTTTATACAAAGTATTTGGATAATATATGGCAATGTAAGGCTCAGGAAGTCAAAGTTGCCAATAGCTTTGAACTTTGGGACCAATTTTTAATTAAATAATAAATAAGAATTGGCAAAAAATAAATGGAAGTGTCTCATTTATTTGAATGAAATTGTAACAAGTTCAGCTTGAGCAATTCTCAGCTCGTTTAATTATCACCCCTGGATTTAAGATTTAACCATAGACCAACCAATTCAAGAACCAACTCTAAAAAAAAATAATGCTTAGTTTGGTTAATTTGGCAGTCATGCATATGCTTTTAATACAAACCATCCATGTATAACAGAACTGAATTAACCAGAATTCCTTAGCAATCTTCATATGATCTTCAAATCTTTTTCTTGTATTTTTAATGCAATCTTATTTGTGTGGTGCTATATACTCGGTATATGTTCAATGTTTTTGCAGAGGTCTGTAAGTGAAAATTTATTATATCTTGTTTGCTCTTACTACTAGGTAGGTATACTATTGATTTTTTGTTAATAAAAAATTCTTCAAATGAAAAAAAAAAAAAAACTGAAGGGAGTATTATTATTTGAGCTTGTCCCAATCTATCAAATGATAAACAAATTTGTGGGGTCCGCGCTTAATTAAAAAAATTGATTTATTTACGAAAATGTTATTTGATAAAAAAATATTCATTCCGGCTTGAATCGTGGAAAGTTGGAAACAAACATATTTTGGTAGGTTAGGAGAAGGGTTCTATCACATAAATCGTAATCTCTCACTGATCAATCTGGCTTGAATTATTGAACTTAGTCATTGAAAGTATTAGGAGGAGAAAGGTAAGAGAATCACCACCCCAAACCACCTCCTTGAGGTTTAACACCATAATCTCTTCGGCCTTCGCTGTGAGATATGAACTAACTTTTCACTAGTTTCTAATTTCCGTCTCTCATAAAATACTTAGTTCAGTTCAGGTCAGTTCAGCTCCAATCAGTTTAGTTCAATTTAGTTCAGTTTAGTAAATCAGAAACAAGCCCTAAGTGCATAGATCGATGTAACACTAAGTATTCCATATAAAGCTATAGATTGTGTATTTATAGCCGTGAATTACGGCCTAAGATTGATTACTGAAATAAATAAACAGCAAGACAATAAGGTGTCAAAAAAGTGAGTCTCAATTCAACTAACTTAACGTCAATTACTGAAGCTTCAAAGGAGTAAATTTCAAACACTAGGAAACAATTATGTAGCGTAATATATTGTGAAATAATGGACCATATTTCGGTGCCTGAAAACTTAGGACATCTTCACATGAATTTCAGATACCAACAACACTTCTAGGATAATTGGACCGATAACTAGCATAAGGTCACCGACCAACTAGACCAAGACAAACATTTGTCAAAACTAAAATATTGAAATTTTATACCATACATTATCAATTTACGATTTACAATATGTATTTCACTATTTTGTAATTTAGCACCTTCAATTTCCAATGTTAATTCTGAAATAATTATTTTTTATTAGAATTTTTAGCTTAGCGTATGCACATTTATATGTGTGAAATACTTATTGTGTTATTGAAAGGACGCAAACGCGTATGTTAAGAAATGTCATTATGAAAAGAAAAAAAAGGAGATACAAAGTATGTTGGTATTGTATTTTGGGTAATGCTATACATAGCCCTTAGGGCTATATATAAGTATTAAAAACACTCTTGGAAATTGTATAAAATTAGGAATTTATGACAATTGATATGAAATTAAAAAATATAATTTAATGTATTATTTTATCATAATGTTGTGTTCTTTTGGTGCATATTCAATATTATGTACATAAATAATAGAGCATGCCATTCTTGAACTAAAAATTGTTGTATAATATTTGTGAGAAAGTAATAATTGATCCAATGAAAAAGGATGGAAACATGAAATAAATGTTAAGATAAAGGAAGACCATGTAACCATGTTACACACTCCCTTGATTCCTTTTTTTGACTCTATGTGTTATGCCTTGTGGAGTTGTGGTCAAACTCTGTTAATCGTCTATAACAATTATATACTACTTACGTCATCTTGTGGGATCTTGTTAGTTTTGTTTGGTGTATATTTCCTAACACAAATAATAATATTAATGATCGAAGGTACCCGTATAGTCGTATACATTAGTGATCGCCCAAAATACTATCATAGATAGAATAATTTGAATCCGATAAGACATTCATTTCACTGGAAAAGTAACAAAGAGATAACTTGTGTACACTTTATTTATTACACAATATTGTTAAATATCTAAAAAAAAATGAGTACACCATTTGAAAAAAAATAATTTAGAAAGAGGTAGATGATGAAGACATAGCCAAATAAAGAATTGGACAACCAAAGCCCACAGCAAATCTACAGTTGGTAACGCTTCTGATGCTCTCCGCGTTACACTCACCTAGGAAACTACTATCGCGTCACCTTCCATGTGATCCATTAACGGTTTACAACAATTTTATCTATTTTTTATAATCAACGGTCCAAACTATTATATTCACCCTATATATATATACTACCCTTGTATACCATATTGTCACACAACTATTATATCATATAATTTCTCAAACAATCACTTCTTTAGTAGTTCTTCATATTTAGTCCTTTTTTCCCTTCTAGGGAAAAATTACATATAATTATGGGTCATGAAAAGATGCTTCTTGTTGTTGTTGTTGCTCTTATGGTGAGCTCTAGGGTTTATGGTGCAGGAGGCAACTTTCGCGATGAGTTTGAACCCACATTTGGTGATAATAGGGTTAATATGGCTGGCCGGGACTTGTCACTCTCATTAGACCAGTATTCGGGATCCGGGTTCCGGTCTAAGAGGGAATACTTGTATGGAAGGTTAGATATGCAAATGAAATTTGTTGAGGGTAACTCTGCTGGTACCGTCACTACTCTTTATGTAAGTCCGCTTTACTTTATATATTGTCTAGTTATCTAGACTCATTTCATATTATCTGTCACTTAATTTAAAATATTTGTTACTTATATTGTTGGTCGATGATTTAATTTAATTTGCTCATTCTTGGCATTTTGGTTTGCAGTTGACATCTGATCAAAGTACCGGAAGACATGACGAGATCGATTTCGAGTTCTTAGGGAATGTGTCCGGACAGCCTTACACAATCCATACCAATGTGTTTAGCCAAGGGCAAGGAAGTAGGGAACAACAGTTCCACCTTTGGTTTGACCCATCTAAGGCCTTCCACACCTATTCTATTGTTTGGAACCCAAAACTCATCATGTAAGTATAATAGGACACATGAAATTGTTTCTTTAATTATTTATAGATGTGTCATTGACAACAAGACCTCATAATCTTTGATAATATAAAGATGTAAAATAAAAATAAATATACTTGTATATGAACAATCGTGGGATTATATGTATATAAGGGTCAAGGAGTGAAAGGATGGTAAGTCCCTCCATATTCCCCCTAAGTGGTTGGCGGGGGGTTGATCCTTAATCCCATTTTGTGATAAAAGGGTCCCTCGTATTTTACATTTTTAGTTCATATAGCCGACTCTACTTATGTGATTAAGGCTTTGATAAATTGATTGTAATAAAAACACGTCCTAACTCATTTGTCACATTTGAATGCAGGTTCTTGGTTGATGAAACACCTCTTAGAGTATTCAGGAACTACGAGAACCATGGAATTACATTCTTCCCAAAGAACCAAGCACAGAAAATCCATGCTAGTCTTTGGGAAGCCGACGATTGGGCGACACGAGGTGGATTGGAGAAGATAGATTGGTCTAAGGCACCCTTTGTAGCCCATTATCGCAATTTCAACATCGATACCTCACCAAATGGAGCATATAGAAACCATGATCTTAATGCTCAATCTAGGAGGAGATTGAGGTGGGTTCAAAAGAATTACATGATCTATAATTATTGCACAGATTGGAAACGATTTTCTTCAAGTTTCCCTCCTGAATGCAAGCATGCCAAGTTTAATTAGAAGGGTTCAAAAGGATTATTATTTACTATTGTTATACACTAGGCTATTGTAATTTCATATGAATTTAACTCAAATTTGTTCTTGTATTTTCAATTCTTATAATAAAAATTATTATTATATTCTTCTATATGCATTGATTTTATGGAAAGTCAAGAATAGTGGCCATCCTTGTTTGATTTTGTGACATACAAGAGACTTTTTTTTTGCCTAAGTTGTTGAAACAGAGGAATTTGCATTGACCAATTGATGCAAATATAGTAAAGTTAGACACTTGTTTAAAAAAACAAAAAAAATCAAAATTTTCCTTTTTTTTTACTAATTAATTGTAGTAGTTTGAGAAACATAAAGTATTTGCTTAGCTTTTTGCGCCGTATTTAAAGATAACTATAAAAATGAATATAAAATGCCACTTGTCATCTATCCAGAGAAAGAGTTTAAATTACTTTTGAAATTAAAGATATTAGAATCTTTTATTAATGACTTTTATTATCCGCTATACATATTACGAAGAACTATATACAAATTTTTTATTCTTATTTTGACAGAGCCTATATTCCTATGTTCCTCATTAATCATGGCAATATGGCATATAGAACTATAGAAGGGGTTTTAATTCAAGTAGAATGAAAGATCAAAACTTATAAGAGTCTGAAATTTTGTTAAGAGCTTCGTAAATTAGTATCCAATCTCTTATCCTTTTGAATTTTTTTATGAAAAAATAAAAAAGAATTTTCTATTACAATAGAGAATTATGGCAATAGAATGCAGTGCAACACTTTTAGAGTACTTTGTTTACTCCTTCCATCAATCCATCCTATAGCAGTGTGCCCCTTTACATATTCACATCTACTTTTTGTTTTCGTTTCAATTATTCAATTAATAACTATACATACAAGTATACAACGCAAAAAAACAAAAGAAACAAATAAAAGTTACATAATTGTTATAGATAAATTTGCTTTATTAGTGACGAGTATTACAAGAAACTTATTCCATATAAGCCGTCACTCCTAAGTCCTAATGTATTAGTACAAGCGAAAGTCAAAACAATACAACTAAGTATAAAATTACTTGATTAAAACCTAAAATTCATGATAAGTTCAACAAAATTACATATGACTATGTTTTGAAAATATATTTAGATATTAAATTTCATAAATAATACAGTCTATTAAAATTTCAAATAAGACAATCAATTAGAAACGGAGGAGTCCTCCTAACGAGCCGGATTATCTACTTGTATGTAGCAATGTCGCAAATCTCATATACTTCAAGTCGGAATCTTTGGCAGAAAATGTGGAAAGATTGACCTCGAAAAGCATAGCAATAAATTAAATCAAGGCTAACATGCAACTCTTTAATGCATTGCATGAGTCAAATATTCTTGAATAAGGTCACCAATTGCATCTATATCACTATATGAGGTATCCTAGACGAACCATGTGAGCTATGTTGTATAATCCCAATTCATAATTCTTAACCTTGCAAATCCATTTTGTCTCTTTATTTATTTATTTAATCTGTATCATCATCATTTCACATGGTTTCTATTCTGTCTTTGGATCATTTCTTCATGATTAAGCATTATAATTATATTATATTTACAATAATAGAACTATCATTTATCCATATCATTCATTTATATTCATCGTTGATCAATATAGGTTTTTTCAGTTCGGATCAGAAAACTTATTTCATCCTTTATTCCTATTTATTTAATTGTATCAATCCATTAACTTTATTCATCCACATAAATCGACACTAGCTAGGTTTTGTATTTATTGATAATAATCCTTAATATTAATATTAAGTTTTAATTGGTGTGTGTGTGTATATATAATTTTAATATACCAAGATATTATTACTGTTGTAAAATGAAAATAGTATTGTAAATCGATAATAATATTAAATTTCGTGTTAACTACCCTATAAGGCTATAAGAGAACGCAACCTATTAGGTATCTAAGACTCCAACACTTTCTTTATTTACAATTGAAGCAGCTGGTTGACTGAAGTTTGATAATTGACTAAAGTCATCTACCAAACCTTCATTAGGACTATATATTGGTCTTCAGTTAAACTACTCATAAAATAAATTTTGGTTAATATATTTTATTTCATTAATAACTAAAATAGCGATCTTTACGTGAATACGTGCATGCAATTACCTCGTTGACTTGACGAATCACGACTCACCGTTAACTTGTTGACCTAGAGTCATATACTTCGTATAAAAGATTTTTGTGTTATGCATGTAATTTGTCATGTGTGTAATCTAGTTATTAAGTGTATAAATCAGTTTATTTTCATACAATCTTTTTCCTTAAATTGAGTAGTATTTTAGGGATTATGCTCTAAAGTAAGGAAGTCAATAAATTAATAAAGTTATAAATCTTACCAATGAAAAAGCCCTAGGAAAGCCACTGAATTATTAATTAAAAATAGCTACATACATAAAGACATACAACACATTCATTAAAAAGAATAATTATAATTTATTTCATTTGATGAATTAAAAGTAATGCAACATCGATCACACATTATATTCTATATCCTTTCAAATAAATCGTAAATTTAAAAATAAAATTTGAATTATTAACTCTTTGCTAATCTAAATTCGTGAGTGCTTGCATTCAGCAGGATAACCTTGAGAGAAACGCTTCATATCTGCACAATAATCATATATCATGAAGTATTTTTGAACCCATCTCAATCTTCTTCTACCCCATGCATTGAGATCATGAGTTCTCCATGCACCAAGTGTTGTTTTCCCATTGGTTGACATTGTAGCAGCCGTTCTAGGGGTGGCACTGTCGATGTTGAAGTTGCGATAGTAGGCCGTGAAGGGGGCCTTGGACCAATCTGTCTTAACCAAACCACCTTGAGTAGCCCAATCATCGGCGTTCCATAGGCTAGAGAACATCCTCGTGGGTTGGTTCTTTGGGAAAGGAACTCCGATATCCTCGTGGTTTCGAAATACTCTTAGTGGTGTTTCATCAACCATGAACCTAAAGAATTCAATTTAAATTTAAGAAATTTATAAGTTATTCTAATATATATACAGTACTTAAAAGACAATTGGTTAAACACTAAATGTTATACTTAATTTATTTGTTGTCGTGTTTTTATAAGACATGTGAGTACAATGCGAAAGTAACTTAAAAATGTTTGCATACATATGAGTGATATGACTATATGAACACACCTTTTAGTTGAATTGGAAAAAAAATGTTTAAATTTTAATCTTACATAGTATGTCTCTTAATACTTAAACCGTCTAAATAATAGTGAAATCACTTCAGTTTATTTGTACATGGTACATTTATTCGCTTCAAAATTAGACACTTTTATTCTATGTACGTACTTAATAAAGAATGTATACAAAATATAGATATGGTATACGGAATATAATGGCAAGATTACTATATTTTGTTGTTTGTGTGTTTTATATGGCTTACATGATGAGTTTTGAGTTCCAAACGATGGAGTAAGTGTGGAAGTTCTTGGTGGGATCAAACCAAAGATGGAATTGCTGCTCCCTATTGCCTTTTCCTTGGCTAAACACATTGGTGTGGAGAGTGTAAGGCTGTCCGCTTACATTCCCCAAAAACTCGAAATCGATCTCATCGTGTGTACCCGTGGTTTGATCAGATGACAACTACGCATATACAATAAAATTCACACTACAATCAGGAAATTAAATTTAACTTTTACCTAAGTTACGTATACTTATTCCTGGGCGGTATTGATTATATATGTTTATATCTCATATCTCTAACATAATTAGTGTGATGTATGTGTATTTGACAATGTACGATTAGGTTGCTAATACAAAAATGAACTACATAAAAATGAGCAAGAAAGCTTACATAAAGAGTAGTAACAGTGCCAGCAGAATCGCCAGGAACAAGTTTCAATTGCATATCGAACCTCCCAAACACATATTCCTTCTTGGATCGAAACCCGGATCCGGAGTATTTATCCAAGGAGAGGGACAGGGATTGGTCACCTTGGCCAAATGTCCGGACTCTATGATCACCAAAAGTTCTTTCAAACACTGCATTGAAGTTGCTTGCATAAGCACTACTAGTGAAAGCAAGTACACTCACAACAAGTAACTTAAGCATCATTAGTAGCTTAAATGATGAAATATTCATGCTTAATTAATGAAGATAATGTTGTAATGAATGATGATTTATCATGAATTAGTAAGATTATGGAATTATAATTATGGAAAGACAAAGTTATATATATAGTCATAGAGGAATAACGCCGAAAGGTAACGAGAGAAACACCTAGTGGAAAAATGGTTAGAATTAGCTGGCTATGTACTAAAAGTGGCCGTTACATGATTTGTAGTGTAGTCTTCATTATTATTGCCATGGTGTGTTTGTAGGGTAAAGGTCTCTTTTAAATAATTATAAAGTTAATTTATGATCATTTTTTAGTATTTATATTGATCTATGGATGGAATCCAACTATGCATGGTTCATTAAAACTTACTATAAAGTTTATAACAAAAAAAATACCAATATAGTAGTATGTACAATCACTATGCATGGCATATCATTACTTTGGTTCATATAGCTGACTCCACTTGTGGGATTTAGACTTTGATCAATTAATAAATTGATAATTAATAGTATATATGTACAATCAATTATATAGCTCATTTAGAAAATTAAAGTAGTGATGATTTATGATTGAATTATTCTAATATACTAGCACTTAATTAAGCGAGACTGTGACAGGTGAGGATGTATTGAGATGACATGACTATTTAAAACATGGAATTTGTTATATAAACCCAGGTGCAATGTACACCCAACTAACCTAAAGTTAGTTTTTGCTCTTCATTTGATGATTAAATGAAGAAAAAAAATCATCAAAATGAGAACAAAATACTCATGAGTGTTTAGTGCACCGTGTATATGTATCTATTATAATAAGGACTTTTAAAATTGGTTGAGATTAAAAGATAATAAGTGTGTATTCATTTCTTGAAGATCTCAGCTAGAGGATTCCATTTACACTAACAATAACAATATTAGTTTGATTTGTTTCACTTCCCTCAAAAAAAAAAAAAAAAAGTTTGATTTGTTTCACACACACAACTTTTTTTTTAAGGATAATTTTGTAACAATTGAATGTATCAATATTGATAGATTATAAAACATATTCCTGGGCCTCAACCATCAGCTCGGAGCCATCGTGACACAAAGGTCACGGGTTCGAATCTCATCCACCCCCCACTTTCAAGTGGAACAATTGGTCTTGGCTGCACTCTAGTGCAGCCAAGATAGCTACAACAAGTGAGGCCCAAAACGCGCGGCCCAAATAAAAAATGAACATTTAGTTAAAAAATATGAATACGAAAAAAATGAACATGTAATAACAAAAAATGAACGCGTAAAAAAAATGAACATTTAATACTAAAAAGTGAACATGTTATAAGGAAATGATCATTTATTAAAAATGAATTTGATTATCATATAATCATAAATTTGCTAGACCACGACCTTAAAAATGAACATTTAGTTAGAAAAATGAACACATAAATTTTTTTTTTTTTAAAAAAAAAAAGAATATTCAGTAATAAAAATGAACATTCAGTAATAAAAAGTGAACATTTAGTATATTAGAAATGAACCTTTATCATACAACCATAAAATTGGGATCATATACATCGGAAATTCTCCAACCTAAAGGCAAATTCATTGTACATATCATATACTTCTTCATCACTTCTTACTTGTTTCTTCACTAATTCAGAGTCTTTGTCTTCTACAAATACAATTAATCTGTACTCACTAAAATATAACAAATAATCAGAATTTTCATAATCATCACAAAATATGTTCATAATAATTATTTAGAATGTTCATATGTATAATCATCAATACATGTACAATACTTAAAAATGTAAATAATAATCACTCTATATATCATATGTGTTCATAATCAATAACTGATATGTTCGTAAAGAATAACGAAACATATATATTCATAATAAATTGTTCAGATTTTCAACAATAAATGTTCAGATAGTTTAACTTTCAACGTATTATATTTTACTTTCAACCTAATAAAACTGAACATTTATTATTAAAAAATGAACACTTATAAAATGAACATCTAACAAAAAGTTATGAACTTTTAGAATATTAAAATGAACATGATTTTCATAAAGGTTCAAATTCATTGTACATAATTATTAATGAATAATAAAGATAAAATAATTTGTTGAAATATGTTCATTTTTTTATGTATTTAATATTCATTTTCGGTGTACTAAATGCTCATTTTGTAAAAGATGTTCATTTTTAAATTTCTACGTATTCATTTTTATTTTTTTTTACAGAAATTATATTCAATATACACCTTAAATCTAATCCTGATTCATCATAGAGAAAATAATTATTGATTTGTAACATGATTAGAAATCAAAAGAAAGAGAGAGAGAGAGAAAATAACTATAAATTAAGCAATACAATTGATATTCATTAACAATTAATTAAGCGATTTAATTGATATTCATCACAAACTCATAATAATTTCAAATAATCAAATAATAAATCATCATGCATGATCAACGAAATCATACAAAAAACAATTAGAAATTGATAAAATCTAACCTCCATTGTTTTCTTTGACCTCAACTTTCTCTCTCCTCCATTTTTTCCTTTCCTCTTTGATAAAGCCAAATGATTGAATCTGAAACTCATAAATTTAGAAAGAAAGGAGTATACGCATCAAAACACGAATTACTAACTCAAAAATTTATATAAATAAGAAGAAAATTTTAAAGATTGAAGGGAAGTGAGGTAAAGAGGAAAGAGAATTTTAAATTGAGAAGAAAACTGAAGAGAGAGAGAAATAATAGAGCTAAGGAAGAAGAAGAAGAAGAAGAAAGAGAATTAAGATATGAGGAAGAAAAAAAAACTGATGTTCATTTTAACGTCCTATATGTTCATATTTAATGTTGTTGCAGCTAGCTTGGCTGCACTAGAATGCAGCCAAGAATTATGGCAAGTGGAATATTAAGCGCAGGGTATGAGGAGGGCCCATGCTGCATCCACACTTCTAACCCAACGAGCTCTCGTGTGAGAAGGCGTGATAGAATATAAAACATATTCCTGGACCTCAACCATCAGCTTAAGTTTTTGGTTGAGATGGTCCTCTAACAAATACTGTAGAATTGTAGACCATTGGTTAAGATCCAAAAGGTAGAAAATCAGAGGAGTTGGAAGCAAATTAAAGTCCAATGCCTTATTCTTAATTTCCTCACCATCAAGAAAAGGCCCTATAAATATGGGCCTCCCATATATGACTGGGCTTTTACCCAAATCCATATTATATACTACGTAATATTAAGGCATGATTCACATCTATTGTATATTTGTACGAGTAAATGTCGACTTTCTATCAACAATGAGAATTGGACCAACTCTTTTTAAAGTTGAACAAATTCTTGTAATATTCTTTGATAAGACTATAGTGACATATTTTGAGAATCATAGAATGAAATTCAAAGCGCAACTAACATATACCACTCATTTTGAGGCATAACATGATATTTCTTGGAAAAGCTACAGCAATATGCAGGAAGAATGAGAGTTTTAACACCTACCATGTTACTTATAGGCAACACCAAAAGGTTATTTGGAATTAATAACTCATAAACCCTTATTGAATTTATGATTGAATGGAATCAAAGAGCCACAAAGCCCCAAAACAAACCAATTACATAATTCATTCTCCAAGTGGGTTTTCTTAATTAATTTGAGTATCAAGAGATGATTGTTAGCTATTATTCTTTAATGTTGTGATTAATTCCAATTAGGCTAAACTAAACAACTATGAGAAATTAATTTGGGGTCAAATAGATTTAAACTCTTACATTTATCAAAATACTACATGCTATCCAGGCCATCATCATATTTGTAGTTGCACTATCAACTCATACATTAAGCTTTGACTAATCTATATATTTTCACTAATTGGTTATGTAATTTGCCTTACTATAAGTTACTCATGTACCAACTTAATTAAGCTTTCGATTACACCATAGCCACCAAAGAGAGAATTTTAGCTCACATTCATAATGATCTAACAAATTTTGGCATTAAAAATTCAATTAATGCTAGTCACTTACTTGATGTTGATTTCACACAAATGAGAGTACAGTCCAATTAAGCCTTTGCTTACACCATATCATCCAAATTGAAGCACATATTCAAGCTTTATAACAATCAATTATTACAATGTAAGAACCATAATAATGTTTGTGAGCTATGTTGAATAATGCCTTGTGCCGAGCTTATGTACCATGGGGTTGGCTAGGCTTAGCTTACAACTCCAATCGATAGCTACATGTTACATGTCATGCTAAAATTTTTCCAAATGGTGGGTAATTAGCATGACTCAAGCTCATAGAACCATAATGATGATTGTGGTCTATGTTGAATCATGGTTGCGTACTCGCGTGCCTAAACCAAATTTTACATGTTATAGCATGTTTTGTCATATCAGGCATTATAAAAAAAACCCAAACAAAACACATAGAAAAACGTGTCATCACTGTCATGTCATGCGTAACTCATGTTCATGTCACTTTTTTTTGCGCCTAACCGACCCCATATATTTTTAATGAGTCAATTTCAAAATAATCATAATAAATCACCAATACATTTTATACACATGGATAGGACCTCCAAGGATTATTAAGGAAATAAATCATAAAGATTAAGGGAATAAAATCACAATTATTTTTATGGGCAAATTAGGAGAAGAGAAAGAGCATTAACATTAACATTAACATTATTACATTAACAATATAGAAAAAGGGGTCCTTTTGCTAAGCTCTCAAGTCTGAATACTTTGTTCCTTCGCCACCAAAAACCTTTTGTTTTTGCGGTCCTCAATCACACCACCACCGCCAACAACAACCCAAACTTTGCTCAATCTATTCGTTAATTAGCTGCGCTCTTTTGATCTGGTAGTGAATTTAATCTCTACCCTTTTTCTATTTTTCTCTGTTAATCAATAGGGTTCTTTCGTTTTCTTGTTGTTTGATTGATTTTGATGCTTTTTTCTTTGTTGGGTTTTAATCGGAATTGGTAAGATTCCCTTTTTTGGTTTTTGTATTTGATGTTAATTGGTTAATCAGCTTCTTTAATCAGTTGAAATTCGAGCATCATCAATTAGTTTGATTTTCTTGGGAATAAAGATTGACTCTTTTGTTGTTATTTTATTGGAAGATCGATTAAAATGATTGTTTTGTTAGTGATTACTGATAGATTGTTTAATTGATGATGTTTTGGTATCGGGAAATTGAAGTGATTCTATTGATGAAAATGGGCTGATTTTTATTTTATTTATTTTGGAATGATTTTACATTTGCTTAATTAAGAGGGATTGTTGGATAAAGTGTATAAGTGTGTAATTTGACTGTTAGGGATTGGTTTAGACTAATTGGTGGGATAAAATGTTAAAATCTGATGAAATGTACTTGTTTGTGGTATATGGTGGATGTGTTAATTGGCAGCTGAATGATGGCATCAATGGTAGCGAAAACGAGTACTAGTAGTTGTAGTCAGTTATCACCATTGTCTATTCAAGAGAAAGGAAGTAGGAATAAGCGGAAATTTCGGGCTGATCCACCTACAAGTGACCCTCATAAGGTCTCTCCCTCGACTACAAATGATGGGACGAGTTATGAATTCTCGGCTGAGAAATTTGAGATGGCAGCTAGTCATGCACATCCGCCTAGCCCTTGTGATGTTTGTGGCGTATGTCAGGACCATTCGGATAATTTAAAACTTGACCTTGGATTGTCAAGTGCTTCTTTGGGGGGTTCGTCTGAGGTGGGTTCTAGTCATCCTAGAGAAGAAGAGGAACATGACGACTTCCAAGATGCGGATTGGAGTGATCTTACTGAAACTCAGCTGGAGGAGCTTGTTTTGAGCAATCTTGATACTATATTTAAGAGTGCAATTAAGAAAATAGTTGCTTATGGATACACCGAAGCCGTTGCCACCAGGGCTGTTTTGAGGTCTGGTCTTTGTTACGGGTCTAAGGATACTGTATCAAATATCGTGGACCATGCTTTGGTATTTCTTAGAAATGGGCAAGATATAAGTCCTTTAAGGGAGCATTGTTTCGAGGATCTGCAGCAGCTGGAGAAGTATGTATTGGCAGAGTTGGTCTGTGTACTCCAAGAGGTTAGACCTTTCTTCAGCACTGGAGATGCAATGTGGTGCTTGCTAATATGTGACATGAATGTGTCACATGCCTGTGCCATGGATAGTGACCCCTTAAGTAGCTTGATAAGTGAAGGATCTCCAAATGACAGTTCAACCAATCAACCTCATTCCCATTTGAAAGCCGAGTCTAAAAGTATAGAAATGAGTCTTCCTAGTCCCTCTAAAGCTGTTGCAAGCAATGTAAATCAGACTGGTAAGCACAAAGTTGCTGGAGTTCCTAATCTCACCAAACCAAAGAATACCAACGTTCCGAAAGGAACAACTGCATCAAAAGAGCGTTCAACTTCCTCACAACCTAATTCCATAGATAAGCCTTTCAGTGCTGTAGGTGTATCACATACTCTTTCTCCGGAAGAAAAATCTGTGTCAAGCAGGAAGACACATTCTGGCAATTCAAAAAGAGAATCTATCCTTCGGCAGAAATCTATTCATCTAGAGAAAAGCTGCAGGTCCTATGGGGCAAAAGGGTCTTTTAGAACGGCAAAGTTCAGTGGTTACATCTTGGATAAAAGAATCAGACCCACGTCTGATTCGGCTACCCTTAACATGAAGAGTGCCTCCTTGAAGATAAGCAAAGCAATGGCAATGGGATTGGAATTGGCACATGAAAATGGAAGCCTCAGTTTTTCAGCCTGTTCTACAATTTCCTCCACTTCACCTTCATTTACTGTAGAAGCCCGACGTACCGTATCCTCATCACCTGAGACGAATCAAACTTCAGTGACATCAGTGGCCAAAACCAAGCCTGATGTGTCAGCTGCTGATACTGAACTTTCGCTTTCACTACCGGCAAAAAGTAATCCTCCTCAAGTGAACCAAAGCTGTAATAGTGAGGCTTCTATCCCTAGTGCTGCTGATATACCCTATGATAAGTCTCTAGCTCAGTGGGTACCTCAGGATAAAAAAGATGAGGTGATTATGAAGTTGGTGCCTAGGATAAGGGAATTACAACACCAACTTCAGGAATGGACAGAGTGGGCAAACCAAAAGGTAATGCAGGCTGCCAGGAGGCTGAGTAAGGACAAAGCTGAGCTCAAAAATTTGAGGCAAGAAAAAGAGGAAGTGGAACGGCTCAAAAAGGAGAAACAAAGCTTAGAGGAGAATACTATGAAGAAGCTTTCTGAGATGGAGAATGCATTGGGTAAGGCTAGTGAAAAGGTTGACCTAGCAAATGCTGCTGTACGGAGACTCAAGGTGGAGAACGCATCACTCAGGCAGGAAATGGAAGATGCTAAGGTACGTGCAGTGGAGTCTGCTGCAAGTTGTCAGGAGGTCTCAAAGCGAGAGAAGAAGACATTGATAAAGTTTCAATCGTGGGAAAAGCAGAAGAGTATATTCCAGGAGGAGCTTGCAACCGAGAAACGTAAGTTGTCTCAGCTACAGCAGGAACTCGAACAAGCTAGAGATCTCTATAACCAGCTTGAGGTATGTTCGTTTACACTGTTTGATTTCTGCATTTTGTTTTCTTTCTTCTCTTTTGTGTGAGTAAAAGAATTTCTGGCAAATGCTAGCTCATTGGCTCGTTGCTTCTAATACTATAAAACATTCCGGATGAGAATAAGTTGGTGGATTATTGAAGTTCATGTGATTGTCAGTGAGCACAAATACTGAAAAGCTAATTCATGCTTTGATGAGCACTAGTTCAAAAGGTTGACTGTTTAGGAGTCAGGGATCTCTGCTTATGTTTTACTCTTGAATCATTTAGTTGACTAGTTCACCCTTTCTCTTCTCTGGAAAATTTGTCATATTACACTTGCTAACTTATGAGCTATACTACTAATATCCATGAAGGGAAATAATCAATAGATAAACAAAATTTAGAAGCTGAAGTAAATCTTACTTCAGTATGACTAACAATAGATAATCATCTCTTCCTTGTAGTTCAAGATCTATATTACATATATACATGTTAGAAGGTATGTGCCTGCAGCTTGACAAGGCAAGACGAGTGAACAACTGAACATGGCTTTTGGCGTTCTTATTTAGGTAGTAAATCACCAATTTTAGCTCTAGCTGCTGCAGTAATAACTGGTATTCAGTTTTCTTCCTGCCATAACAAGCCAGCTTCTTGAGTTCAATCTGACATTTGCATTGAATGTTTTTTTATTCCATTCGTCTATTCCCCCCCTTCTCTTTCTTCCCTTAGATCCATTTCATGATTTTTTGTTTCTATCCTTTTGAAGTTGTGTTTTAGGCCTCTACATATATCTAGTATGCGCTTAGGCTTTAAGGAAGTAAATACTAGACTTGAACTTGTGGTTTGTGAAAAGCCATTTGCCAACACATCTCCTGGTTGATGATTTGTTTTCTTGAGTTGCAATGCTTAGAAAGACTTTCCGCCTTAATGATACAACATCCTGCCCCAATCCATTGATCATCCGTCTTTTTCTGACACTGAACTACCTAATAGTTGTTCATTTTGAAAATACTACCTCATAAGTTTTCTCATACACTTTCTCATACACTTTGATTACACTACCTTTTGATGGCAACCATTACTAATTCCATTTCTGGGCCTACTCTATCTGGTTCATCAACGGTTTTCCGTCATTATTTTTTTCCTGGATCCGTCTCATTTATCTTCGCATTAGCCTAAAACTCCTCAAACTCCTCTCTAGATCCAATGCATCTCTCACTCTGTTTCATTATAAACTAATATTTAAGCATTTTGAAATTTTGATCAACTAGGTTTACAACAGGAAATATTATTCCTTGTTAATTATTTCAGGTTTAAGTTTTAAATTTTTTGAAATGTTATTCTGAATTAGGTTTAATATAGTTAAAAGTATCCAAAGGGTTTTGAGTTTGATGAAGGCATGCTTTTTTCATTTATTTTCATAGTTCAGACAAAACCCATGCTTTAGTCTTTCAGTTTGTGCCTCTTTTTTTTTTTTTTGTACTTTTTTTGATTGTTACAAACAATAAATTAAATATGTTTAAAAAAAAAAAAACGATAAATTAAACATTGGATGCAAAATTAAACAACCAATTTCAGCAAGTCAAATTTAAAAAGTTAGGCATAGGAGGGAGGTATGATAGTTTAGTCATATTTTGTTCATTAAAATGGGAGTAGGAAATGTGGGCCCTGTAGACAAAAGTTGTGACAAAAATCATCGAAAAGGTTGTTTTATTCTTAGAAAAACATTGATTTGGTAGTTATTTAAATTAAAAAGAAAAAAAAAAACCTTTTTAGGTAATTGTTTCCAAGAGTGGAACAGATGCAAGTAGTTGCTCACAGATTCTACTTAAAAAATATCTCTGATATCCAACAATAACAATATCCTCCTTCTATGCCATCTATCTTCTTCTCCTAGTTTAAGGCTTTCATCTTGGAGTAAGTATGCCCTCGCTTGCTTATAAAAAATATTATTGGAAACTCTTATCTTTATCTGCATATTCAGCTGGTCAAATTTTATGTATACTATTGATAACCATGGCCCTCTAGGAGGTGTACTGTGTGGGGAAGAATACATCCTGATGTTGGAAGGTTATGAGTTTGCATGGATCAAGCCTTTAAGCAATTTTTTTTTTTTTTTTAAGGGAAGCCTTTAAGCATATAGTTAATCATAGTGGACAACTATTTGAGGATGAAATGCTTTTTTCCTCAATCTTGAAATTTTTGCAGTGGATAATGAAGTTTCAATGCAGATATCTCACTATTTCGGTTCAAAACCACGTTGATGTCTCATAATCTTATTCACATTATGTGCTTGTTTTATATGTATTGCCCATTATGAAAATATTTGCGAAGGAAACTTTTAAATCTGATTCTGAAATGTTGATGGGCTATGTTTATTAGGACTTCATTTTACCTCAAGTACTTAACATGGGTTTGGACATTTGACACTTCATTTCTGACCAACCATAGAAATTTTTCATAAATGGCTGCACTTGGATACATACACATGCTATAGTTACATAGCTTTTAAGTGGTTCTAAAGGAAGCTGATCATTCTGGTGGGTCTGCCCCGTAAAGATTAGAAAATATTTGTGGCATTCTAGAACATCCATTCATTTCGAAAGAAATGTAGTCGTATGAAAACATATTCTCAATTAGTACAGTAGTCTTTAGAAATCTCTATATGAAGTAACTACTGTAATGCATATACTAAATTGTAGCAGCAGTGCCTTTACAACCTGCTAGGTAGGTACAAATGAAAGTAATGGATATAAATTAAATGTAATATTGCAAGGTAAGTACATGCTAATGTCTATGCCCTATGGTAGTGCAACCTCATCCTTGAACATGTATCTTTCTGTACAAACTTACATTACCACCCAATTTCGCCCCTCAAGACCTCAAGTAGACGAGTGGTAGTAAAAATTTATGGGTGAACTAAGCATTAACATGGCCTTTGGCATATGTAGGACTTTCCTTATAAATTTATTAACGCCTATCTAATGCGCTGTTGATTTCATTCATCTCTGAAAAAAGTTTCTATAGTGTCTTTTATATTCTTAGGTCACCTACAGAGGCAGATCCACAGAAGGTATCACTCTGAAGGTGGTTGTAATTGCCAAGTATAACTGAAAATTTATGCCAATGGCATAAACTTTTTGTGTTTACTGCTTCTTGCCCTTTCAAACAAAGAAAGTGTAATGTATTCTTTTGTGCTATTTGTTGCATCTCTGTGATTACCATGAACTATCTTGATTGAAGCCAAGGATACAGATACTAATGCTTGCTTATCATCTTATGAGTTGATTTATTTACTGTGCACACATGTTAATAGAAATGAATAATGTTATGGGTAAAGATCTCAATACAGTATTGCTTCTAGAAGAATAACAATAATTGCTTTGTCCTTTTTCTTAGGCTACACATATTTTAATAAATCTAATACAAGTATGATATTGTATATTGGATAAGTTTAAGGTTTCCCTTGTTTAGTTGTATCTTTCATCTGTATTAGCAATTCATCTATTCTTTATTAAGACTGTAGTAAGTACATGCATTTCCTCTAATAGCTGCGAACATACACTTAAAAATTAGCAATTCAATCCTTTGTTGCTAGGGTATCACCCAATGAGTTGTAACTTGTGCAGGTCACTGTTAAAAATCAGCAATTCTATTTAGAAAATCTGTGCCTGGGAGCATTATTACAATATTACCCAACCCCTTTCCCTCTGCAAACCACATTCTGGAACATGCAAACTACGATATGGTTATCTTGGGTTCCAGTTCTTAGTCGTCCAGTCTAACAAGCTGCTACATACACTTCCATACTTATTCCTAGCTCCTAAAGGCATGGTGTTGCTTGTGACACTCTCTAAAATCATTCTATTGCTTACGTTTTGTAAGAGTTTTTCTGGTTCTGTATCCTAAAAGTTGGTTAAGCTTTATAGATCTTCAGATTAGTGTAACAAAGTTAATGTAATCAATTCATCGTGACACTTGGCAGATTTATTTGTCACTAATAATTAGTGCAATCTATGTGCATAAGTTTCGTTGCTCTTGTCATCATTAGCAGCTTCATGCTCTTGTTGGGCTCCATTATCCCCCTCACATTCTTTGTTATGGAAGTGCGCTTGCGTCCAGAAGAAAAGACATGTCCCTGCTTCTTGACTTCATTCTGTCAGCATATGTTTGAGAAGTTTGCAGCTCTTGGAGGATCTGTGTGATTGTAAATACCGAGTCTTAGACTTGATTAGTATTTTACTGGTGAAATTTGAAGCCTTTGAGTTTCAGATCTTGTTCAGATGGAATGTTTCTAAGGACTTGCTTTGTAAATGGACAAACACAAAAGGAATCTCTCAGTACATCATCATCTGGAGAAGTCAACAATCCTACTATACGTCGTTATGTTCTTTGTTGCTTAAAATCTCTTGTTTTATACTTCCACTGTATCATTATTTTTAACTTGAGCTTTCTGAATTCTGATAGCCTGAGTGTACAATATTTACAGGCTCGGTGGAAGCAGGAGGAGAAGGCAAAGGAAGAATTACTCGTTCAAGCAAACTCAATTAAAAAAGAAAGAGAACAGCTTGAGGCATCTGCAAAATCTAAAGAGGATGCCATAAAACTGAAATCAGAAGCTAATCTTCAGAAGTATAAAGGAGATATCCAAAAGCTTGAGAAGGAAATTTCTCAGTTGAGACTGAAGACCGACTCATCAAAGATAGCAGCTATGAAGAGAGGCATTGATGGAAATTTTGCTAGCAGGCTCACAGAAGCCCAAAGTGCACCTGCTGCTAAAGAATCCAGGAACACACACAAGTCTAGAATTGCAAACGGGTTTCAAGAATTTACTGCTGTTGGAGGGGTAAAACGAGAAAGGGAGTGTGTGATGTGCCTCTCAGAAGAGATGTCTGTAGTTTTTCTTCCCTGTGCTCATCAGGTGGTTTGCAAAATGTGCAATGAGCTCCATGAGAAGCAAGGCATGAACGATTGCCCTTCGTGTAGGAGCCCCATATCTAGGCGCATCTGCGTACCTTTTGCTCATCCTTAACCGCTATACTTCTCCCTGAATATAGAGCTCTTGAGTGTTTTGAATAACGGAGACAAAATGTTTTTGAATAAATACACAACATTTTGAACAATTGAGTTCAGAAAGCTTATACCAGTACTCAATACAGCCTTGCATAATGAAATGAAAGGGTCCATTATATTATTGATGATTATACCATGTGCATTAGTTTCAGTCTATGTTGATGCCTGCTTCCTATTCTGTTTTCTGAATACTGAGGTGAGGTCTGAGTTGGTTTGTTTATACTACGTATGTTCCTTCAGTCAAATTTGTCATCCAGTTTTTTAAATGTAGGATTTGAAGGCGATATCAATTTATATAAATTTAACGTGAGAAATTAAAAGCCACTCTTCAAAAAGTAGAAGTCATATCTGCTTTTCCTTCTTTTTTTCACCACTAGTTTGACAAGAAATATATTACTCCCTCTGTCCCTAATTGTGGGTTATGTTTGGAATCCGAGTGAAAATTGGGAAAATTACAACCAACCAAAAAGAACGGAAAGAGTATTTAAAAACAATGTTAGGATGTCCTAAATTTTGAAAGTTAAATGGTCTCAGTACTAAAACATCCCATATACTGTATAGTACTTTGTATCATGCGTGGATCTTTACTCTCCCTGTTTCAGTGAAGTCTTGGACATGTGAGTAAAGTAGCTAGCTTTAGGAAAAAACAATTTTTTTACCAAGAAACTACCCAGTTTATAATGAAGGGTTTTGCTATACATAGCCCTAAGGGCTATGCATAAGAATCAACAATTTCATATCATTAACTCTATTTTTCTTGTTCCAATGGAATCTTATAGTATTATTAATTTAAGTTATTATTAATTTAATGTAATATTGTTTATGGGATAAGTTATTATCAAAATGCATTTATTAATTAACCCATTAAAGCTATTTTTATTTTCCTTTCAGGATTAAACTTTTGTATTTTATTTAATTAGTTAAGCACTAACAAATCTAACATCATACCAATAGAAAATTATATATACTGTAAAAAAGAAAAAATTTAAGTAGTATTAATATCCAAAATAAACACCGTGCAAGTCAATATTTTACCCACATTCTTTCAAGAAACAACATATAGCAACCAAACCATCTATTAGATAATACTAAGTGGACAATACTGCAATATATTAGTGTGCTGCTAAGATATTTATTTACAAAAAAAAAAAATTGTTTATACGCCTGATTTGGTTTATTAGGAGATAAACTTAAGTTATTATCATCCTTTTCAAGCTTTTAATGGAGTACTATTTCCATGCCTAGCCAATCTTCATTGTTTCAAAATATTTTATTCATACATATCAAATAAAATAAAGGTATTTTACTAGAAGTGCCACATACGATCTCGCATATCTTCGGCACCCAAACAACCAGTTGAATCCATCTTAGGATAGATTGGACTGGAGAGAGTATGATGATATTGAACTTTATTTTTTATTTTTTATTTTTTTTTATTTTTGGAAAAAGCATTTTCATGGTAATTAATTGTGTAGGTAAGAAAACTAGAAAAGTATTAGTTACATTTTTGGGATGGATTAATTCTGGATTAATAGTAATATAAGATTCCATTGGAACAAGAAAAATAGAATTAATGATATGAAATTGTTGATTCTTATGCATAGCCCTTAGGGCTATGTATAGCAAAACCCTATAATGAATACTAAAATTAAATTACAATGCATGTCTTTTGACAACTTCTTGAGCACGGAAAGAACTAAGAAATAGATGCACTACATCTAGAGGTGTCAAAAACTAACCTGACCAATCTAAATTGATTTGACTTATCCCGAAAAAAAAAATTAAAAAAAATTAAAAAAATTAAAAAAATTAAAAATAAAACTTGATTTAGATTTTGACTCGTTTAGACAAAATTAGTTAGCATGAATGACACTAGTTCAAAAAAGACTCAACCCGACCCAGGAACCCGAATTTATACCTCTATCTACATCAGCCTGGCATAGTTGTCATTCGCCTGTTTTTGTTGTTACTCCGTATATTGCTACTTTAAAACTTTAGTTATAAGGAATGCGGGAATGCTTTTGAAGTTCGTCGGGAGGGAGTAGGTCTCGTGAATATAATTCTTCCAGTTTATGCATTATTTGATTATTTCATCAGAGTAAATGTTATTTCCTCAAAAAAGATCAGATATTTCTTTTGTTCCTTGAGATTAGATGCTGTATGCCTGTATGTTCAAATACTGGCATAATTCCCTACCATTATTGTCCAGTTCGTTTGTCGCAGTGTCAACATCATATTAACAATAATAACATGAACATGATTCATTGTAAAAGAAAAATACACAAGATGCAAGACGCAAGGATAGTCTTACCTCAAGACTACGTGTGCAAAATACTCCATATAAATTTTGTTAAATATACTTTCATATTATAAGTTTTCACTAACACAACACACAAGGATTATGAGCCCAAAAAAGTTGAAGATTTGCTTACAGAACTGATTATCGCCCGGGCTTGATAATCAGTACTACATAATACAAGGTTTAAAAAAAAAAAGGTTGCCTTCTATCCTTCTGTAAGATCACTAATCAGAATCTGAACCAAGGTTCAATGATGATCTGACTGACGTGCGTTTACTTTCAGAATAATCATCCTCGTCTTCATCTTTTTCCTTCTCTTTGATAATACCTGTAAACAACTGGTCAGACACATAGTAGCAAGCACTGCAACCCTCAAACAATAAAAGGATTTCTACCTTTCTTGATCAACAGATTTTCTAGTCTCTTAGTCGGGAAATCATCTTTAGCTCCAAGGTCTTGAAACCCTACTAGTCTATCACCAGCTATTCCTTTCCTGAAATTCAATACGGAAAGCCATATTCAGATGGCAAAATTGTAATCAACTGTGGTGTTCAATGTAGAGAGAATAGAGCATTTTTTGCACAGCAGATATTGATGAACACTCATAGAATATGATATGGATACGATACAGAGAAGATGAGAAACTAACTTGAACAATATAACACATGGCAAAGTTTTGATTCCGAGTTTGGATATGAAAAAGGGGGCATTCTGCATTTGGTGTACAGAGCCAGTTTGTCATCCGCAATTTATAGGAACTTAAGATTGTGTAAAACTTACGTCTTTTAGAGACACCAAAACAGAATCAGAAGACAAACAACTTCATAAAGCAACATCAACAACATATACTAAGAAAGCTAACCTCAGCGTCCAGTCTTAAGAATTTAGTACCAAGGTACTTGGGTGCAAGAGCCTTCAGATGCTTATCCATTATCCTGGAAAAGATACAAACAAGTACTTAATCAAATTAGGCAAGCTATGTAAAAGTTTCTGCATTACAAAAGTGTCAGCTCAGAAAGCTGCATATTCAACAATGATAACCACAGGAAAATTGAAATGCTGTCTTTCAGCAGCAGCAATGAAAAAAAAGGCAATAACAGTCTCCATTTCCCTTAGAAGCCACTTGGTTGAATATATTTTTTTAACTCAATTTCCCAATTTTCCCTTTTAAAGTTCCCCATTAACCCTCTACATCAAGTCCACCTTTCTCTTGAGACTTGAGTATTACCTTTCTCTTGAGACTTGAGTATTACCTTTCTCTTGGGACTTGAGTATTACCCATTTTCCTCTACCCCTCTCCTCTACACCACCCAACCACCACCTACCAGCTTTTTAGCTATCAGCTCCCAGCCACAGGCCAACATTTTCCCACTTCCCGACCAACAAAAACCATCCACCCACCTAACAGCCTCACAATGAATCCACCACTGCCTACAGCCTACCCATCTAATCCACAGCACCAACCAACCATCAACATATAAACCACAACTGCACCACTAACCCCTTTAAATATCTGTCACCTCCCATCATCATCATCATCTCCTTTTCTATTACTGACCAATGAAGACAAAGAAAGAGACTGAGCCGCCAACCTTTTTCCTGAAGCCATGGCTTACTTTTGACTCCTTGGATGCTTGACATGGTAACCAGGTTACAGACATGAAATTCTAATCACTTTCACCACCAAGAATGCAAGTTTGTCAATTTTATTTTAAGGCATCATCGGTAGATAAAATGATGTTGAGAGATGAAGGGATAACTTCTGGTAATCTGGTGGTTGTGGTGAAGCTTAGTTAGGGAGAAGGACACCTTTGACAAAGTGGGAGGTGGTGTAGTGATGCCAGTGAGGGACACTGATTCTTCCATTTACAAGTGTCTCGCAAGTGGCATCATGTTGGCCGGTTGTGGCCCTTTGGGTAGACAGAAAGATGTGTTTTTCTTTCTTTTACTTTGGCAATCAAACATTGAATAAGGATTTCAAATTATAATCATTAACCGAACCATACAAATAGATAAAATTCCCTTTCTTGATTCCTTTCACCTCACTTCCTTTCCTTGATTTCTTTCCGTTTTGAAGGAGTGAGCCAAGCAGCCCCTAAAGACGTTTGGATCCACTATTCTATACCATGAACATGAATTAGATTCTGTTTGTCTTCTTTCATCTTTAGAGGATGTTATAGACCTGGTGTCTACCACCACTAAGCCAACAAGGAACACAGTAGCACACTAGCACTAGAGGATTAAAGCAATTAAGAAAGCACTAAGGACTTAAGGAGGGGGAAGCATGGGACTGATTCCTGATTCTGTATGGCAGCAGTAGAGGACAAGAACAATTAATATTAGAAGACGTTTTGAATGTGGCTTTAGTATATAAAGTGTAGTAGTGAAGGCTATAGGACATTATGTTAATTGTGAGGTAACCTCAAGTTACTAGGAGAGAAAACCTAAGGTTATCAAGAGAGTAGAAACTTTTTAAAATATGCTCAAACTCTTTCCCTTTTTGAATGAGTAGAATCAAGGTACATAGCATACCATAGAAGAGAGGAAAAATGAAAGACACAATCACAAAAAGAGGTAGGATGTGCAGCAATTGCAACTGTTAATTGGTGATCATTGGTCAGGCCATATAACACCGGGACAAATTTTTTGGCCACAAATTCTGCTTTAAACTCAGAAAAATGCGCTTACGAGTTACTACATTAATAAGTTGAGCAGGGGGGCATAATCCACAAGATGCCGAGACCACAGAAAGAACAGATATTTTTTTGCTATAGGCAACACAACTTAGAGATGGAATGGGGTATTAGTGTATTAAATATCACTAAGAACATGCTAGAGGAGAAAAAGGTCTCAATTATTATTTGATGGCTTCAAATTGATATAAATATTAAGTTAAAGAGGCAGAGTAGGTCCTTACTTGCATCGATAAAACTCCCGATGGTAGAAGTGGCAGATAACTAATTCGCTGCCAGTAACTTCACCCAAGAAATCCCCTTCAGTTATGTCTCTATATTCTCCATGGCCTTGATTCTTCATTTTTTGTCGCTTCTCAGCCTCTTTCTAAGCAAAATACCATAGGGTGAATAATTTAAGGACTTTTGGTAGCAGATCCAATACTAAGAGATAATTTAAACCTGTAGTGCTGCAATTCTCTCAGCATGCAGTTTCTCTAGCTCTGGATCCTGGCGTTACAGAAAGAAACAATAGTTGAGCATTCAAGAAAACACATAAGTGACATGTAACCTAACTGCAAGTGATCTAAAACTTACATCCATCAACTCATCAAGATCTATATCGTCAATAACTGAACTTGATGCCTGTGTCTTCTCTTGAACAATCATTTCCTGTAACACCAGTTAAGTGAACTGTTTACAAGCCATCGAAACATCAAAGAGATGGAGGAACACGATTATTCAACAAGCAACCCAGCGAGGCTTTAAACATCATCCCTACTAAACCAACGTAATAATATAGTCTTAGCATCTGTCTCCTACATCTGACTATAGCCATGAAATTTAACACAACAAACACCACAACAAAAATTTGCAAGCAATAGCATTCTTTCTTGCGAAAGCATATCCACGTAATACTCTCCTACACTCGGGTCCATTAATTTTAAAATATAGATGTAAAATCAAAACTAAAAGAAGGGTAGGGTTTTCAAGAAACCAAGCACATTGTGATCCGGAATAAGATAGTATCCTGCAGACTAGTAACACTAGACAAAACTTTATACGCTTTGGATATATCCCAGCACATCACAAACACAGGTACTCCGTACTTAGTTTTCGCACACACTATTAACCTTTAAAATCTCAATATGTGCTTCTGGTTCTCATTCTTGGCCACAATGTCCAATTGAAGTTGTAACTAACCAACATTCCATTTTTTTTTTAAAAAAAAAAAAAAAAAAAAAAAAACCAACCATTCACTAATTGTTGAATTCAAGCTAAGAAAATCAACATTTCCATGGCTTTAATTTGATAAAATCCCACGATTTACACGAATACTGACCAACTTTAATACCCTGAAAAGTTAAAACACATGCTCAATTCGAGCTCCACGTTCATGGGGGTAGTCTCCAATTGGACAAATTACTAACCAATATTCTAAAACAAACAATTCAAATTGATAAAACTAACATATTTGGAAATGGGAATTGCATTAAAGCTAATTCCAAGAGATAAAACAAATATAAATTATCAAAAAAAAAAAAAAAACATTGAATTTTATTGATCAAAGATGAATAATGAGAAATGGGAAAGGGTAAAGAGAGAAATTCACCTTCTGAAGATTGCGGGCAGCAGCAGCCATAACATTTCCCATAGCTAAATTAGAGAAAGTCGATTTCACTGAATCTGGATCCATCTTTTGATGAACTCACTTCTTCGGTGAAATATCAACCTGAAATTCAAAAATACCAAAAAAAAATCAACCAATTCATAAACCCTAGAAATCAAAATTAAGAACCATACTCCCTCCTTTCCAGATTAATTGACAAATTTCAACCTTTTGCAGTATTCATAGTATACTAAATTGACAAAGAATACACATATTAACAAATCTAAAAACTAAAACGATTAAATCGGTAGAAAAATATCAGATGAATGTTGAACAAAATAGTGTATAATAGAGAAAGAGGGGATGATGAATACCTGGAAATCGAGGAAAGGGAAGAAGATGAAGAACTGCTGGAGAGAAGAGAGTGAGAAAGGAAAAGATGAGGAGATGAAGATCGTGCGCTAATAGCCTAATACTTTCTTTTTCAAAGTTTGGTTCATTAAAGGGCAAATTTGTAAATGTACACAATGTGTCAAAATACTCATTGGAGGGATAAAAAGAGGAGGATAGGGAATTAGAGATCAGTGCGTTTCTGATGCGGCAGGGTGTCAAATCAGCAAATGATAAAGTAACCTCACTAACCTAGTAACCCAACTAACCCAGTAACCCCTGACTCACATGGTAACCCCTGATTGGACCAAGTAACCCCTGGTCGAGCAAAGTAACTCTTGACCAAGTAACCCCTGACCGACCTAGTAACCCTGACCGAACAAAGTAACCCCTGACCAAGTAACCCCCGATCGAACCTAGTAAGTAGTAGCCCCCTAATAACTCCTAACCAAGTAAGTAACCCCTAATCCTACACCACCTCAAAGCCTTAGACTCCACCACACCACCACCACCTCTCGTACCCACTGCCCCACGCCACCAGCCCCAACACCACCAGCCGCAGCACTAACCCCTAACACTAAGCTACCCAACCTAACACTGACCAAACCCGAACCCGAACCCACACCCAAAACCCACCCTAACCACCAACAACCATGCTGATGTCACCAAATCTGATCCCAAAACCCACCCTAACCACCATGCCACCACCAACCATGCTCAGCAACCCACACCTAGCCCCGATACGCACCCACATTAACACTGACCTAACCCGAACCCACACCCAAAATCCACCCTAACCACCAGCAACCACGTTGCTGTCACCAAATCCGATCCCAAAACCCACCCTAACCACCATGCCACCACCAACCACGCCCAGCAACCCACACCTAGCCTTGATACGCACCCACCCTAACACTGACCAAACTCGAACCTACACCCAAAACCAACCCAACCCACCCTAACCACCACGCGCAGCAACCACGCTGCCACCAACTCCGCTGCCTCAAACAAATCCAAATCCAACCAAAACACAACCAAACCGGAACAAAAAAAAAATTTAAATCGAACAAATACCTTAATTATTAACAATGGCTTCAAATTTCACTTCAAATAGGCTAAAAAGGCCAAATTCGACCATTAAAACACTAGATCTAGAGTTTTCATGGCTGAATTTGGCCTTAAAAACCTCTAAGTTGTTTTCCGACGACGGAGTACGAGGAGCTTCACGATGACCACGAGCTAGGTTGGAGCGTCGACGACGATCTGGGTTGGATAAGGAAGTCGACGACCATAATTGGTAGTGTTTTTGGCTCGATCTTTAGAGCCACTTTTATTACTAATTGGTGTTTTCGTAGTTTTGGTTGAGTTTTGTAGGAAATTGCACTTTTGAAGCATTTTCCCGGGATTATTTGGAGCAACTGCGAACATTGGAGGAGCACGACCATTTTTGGTAGGTTAAGGCCGGTTAGAGTCATCGAACCGGTGATTAAAGGTTCGACACATGAGATAATGAGGCATTTGGACCGAGTATTCAAGCCCCAAAGAGGAAATCTGAATTGGACCGAAGAATCGAAGCCCAATCGAGAAGTCCAAGATAGCCCAAGAGCCTCGTCCGAACAGGCTCCCCCCACCCTAAGGCGCGCCCGACCGAGCGGGGCGGAATATGAAGGAAACAACCCTTCGTCCGAGCTCGCGCCCGACCGGGCGCGAGAGAAGCTTCGAGGTTCAAAAAGGCGGGTCCGATCAGGCTGTGTGGCGCCTGAACAGGCGCACGTGTTCGAGAGCTTGTTTTCGGCGATTTTTACTTAGTTTCTAATTAGGATTTTAGGAGCTTAGTATAAATACTTTTTGAGTTGTTTTGATACGATTATTTCTCTCTTACTCTCTCTTTTACCTCTTCTCCTAGACTTTCTCTCTCTACTTAGTTTTTAGATAAAACTTCTCTCTCTACAACTTTGTTCTTAATTCAACTCTTTATTTCCGTCAACTTTGGTAACGATTTCTTCTCATTTAATTACAGTAATTTATTCTCTTTCTTTCATCATGACTTGTTTAATTGGCCTGCTGCCCAACACGGCCCGCCATGCACGTGGATCGTGCCGTGAGCTGGGGTGCGCCAAGTGAATGTGAATAATGAAGGATTATAATCTTTCAAATTGAAATAAATAATCATTCACATTTCCCACTTGCACAAGGAATGTTGAACCAGGCACGTCAGGTTGTAATTATATCCCAACATGGTTTTTCGGGCCATGTTCTGGGTGGTCTTGTGTTTGAATTCTCTCTGTGTCCTCGTATTATTTTAGCCGTGTCCGGTACCACTGCCCCTCCTATTGATGATATATCTTCTATCACCCGTTACTTCCACTCATCTAGGCAGTGCTGGTTTTGAAATCTCAGAAACTGAAGTCGTTGTCTCAGAATATACCGAATAAGCAAATGTACCAGAGACAAAATCGATTTGATCTTGATGTGAGAACTACATTATAGCTGTATTGAACTTGCAAAGGAGAGTGAAGCTTTCTATGCAGGAAAAGGTGGTTGGTTTGCTTGAGGATTTGGATTTAAAGATGAGAAAAAGAGGTTAAAATGTGGATCCTAGTTTTGTTTTACATCAACTGGAGCACCATGAGAAGGAGAGACATTTGTTGCGGTGGGTTGTAGCATATGGATTGCTTCCGATACAGGTCGAAAATAGGGATGTTAGTGAATTATTGGACGATGACAATTGTCCAACTGTTAGGCTTGGCTAGTTTATGAAGGTTTGGGCTGTTTGGCTGGTCTTTGAAGTGTTTAGTTTTGCTGGGTATCGAAAGTAGGTAACAGAGGTAAACGAGGAGTTCCAGTAGGATTTAGGTCTGGCGCTATAAGGAAAGGGAGTAAAAGGCTTCTAATAATGGCTCAATTCCTGTATAACATCTGACATATTTGAACCTTTCCATCTAGAGTGTCCATGAGCGACTCTAAGGATAAAATTATTGCAAGCTTTTTCAGCTATTTGGCACATTCGATGATCAAAAACAGACTACAGAAATCTACATTTTAATTGGCATTCTAGAAAACAATAGCTAATGCATTGCAAAGTCTGCAACTAAAAGGCATAAAGAGGAAAACAAGGATAAGCTAATTGCATGAGCAAGCCGAGCAACTAGCAGTTATCAAAAGAAACAATTAGATTTCAGCAGAATACTACTCATATTAGATTATTATATACAAAATACAACATTTAATGTTTAGTCGATTCAACTTAAATTATGGTTGGCATAGTTTAAATCGTATAGATCTGGATAATTTCAAATGTAATTGTCTATACAAATCCTACTCATATTATATGTAGCAGCTCAAAGAGTGAGCTTACCAAATTCTTTGCATTTCTGGAAATTCCATGGCTTGACCCTCTGTCTTCTTGCTCATCACCAGGTAGAGCCCTATAACATGAAGAAGCCTCCTCTGTATCTGAAGCTCCAGGCCTTTTGATTGAGTTGTACAGGGGAAGAAGCTAATGAAAGATTCAACTGGCAGCATATCACATCACATTCTTCTGCTGACACCATGTTTTGCTGCAAAGACGGTAAACCTGAACAATCCTTTGCTCCAACTTTGTCCGACAATGAAGCATCCATCTTAAATCCCAGGCATGTTCCAGCGTCTGACAAATCGAAAGATGTTCAACAAAAGCTTTGGTTGTCCCCAAAATAATTCCCCGTTCCCGTTTGTGCTCCCCTCCCCCTTCCCGTTTAGCCCACCATGGCAGACCCCCAACTCCACCAATACCCTGGTTTAGATGTCATCTGCGGATCTGCCTAATTTAGTTGTTATAATGCTAGTTTAAAACTTTAGTTCTACGAAATGCGGGAATGCTTTTGAAGTTCTTAGGGAGGGAGTAGGTCTCATGAATAATTCTTCCAGTTTATGCTTATCTTCATCGGTCGATATTTTTTCCCCAAAAAAGATTCAGACTATTCTTTTGTTCCTTGAGATTAGATGCTGTATGTTCATATACTGGCATAATTCCCTACAATTATTGTCCAGTTCGTGTATCGCAATGTTCTTCCTTTTTTCTTCAGAGCATTTGTGAATTTAGTAAGCAGATGTGTCATCATTTTAACAATAATAACATGAACATATATCATTTTGAAAGAAAAATATACAAGGCCCAAGGATAGTCTTATCTTAAGACTACATGTACGAACTACTCCATATAATTTTGGAGATATACCTTTCACATTAAAAGTTTCACTAACACAAAACACAAGGATTATGAACCAAAAAAGTTGAAGAAGGGCTTACAGAACTGATTATCACACGAGCTTGATGATCAGTACATAATACAAGGTATTTTAAAAAAAAAAAGTTGCCTTCTTTCCTTCTGTTAAATCACTAATCGGAATCTGAACCAAGGTTCAATGATGATCTGACCGATGTTCGTTTACTTTCAGAATAATCATCCTCGTCTTCATCTTTTTCCTCCTCTTTGATAATACCTGTAAAAACAACAGGTCAGACACAGAATAGCAAGCACTGCAACCCGTTTCAATCAATCAATCAAAGCCTTAATCCCATAAGTGGGGTCGGCTACTGCAACCCGTTTAAAGTTTCTTGATCAACAAATTTCTAGTCTCTTTGTCGCGAAATCATCTTTAGCTCCAAGGTCTTGAAACCAAACAAGTCGATCACCTGCTATTCCTTTCCTGATTCAGGAAAACCAATTCAGATGGAAAAATTGTATCAACTGTGACGTTCAATGTAGCAAGTATAGAGAAATTTTGGCACAGCAGATACAAATGAACACATAGAATAAGATAAGGATACAATACAGATAAGGTGAAAAACTAACTTGAACAATATAACACATGGCAAAGTTTTGATTCCGAGCTTGGATATGAAAAAGGGGGCGTTCTGCAATTGGTGTACATCGTCAGTTTGTCATCCGCAATTGATAGGAACTTAAAATTGTGTAAACTTATGTCTTTTAGAGACACTGAAACAGAATCAGAAGACAAACAACATCATAAAGTAACATCAACAAAATATACTAAGAAAGCTAACCTCAGCGTCCAGTCTTAAGAATTTAGTACCAAGGTACTTGGGTACAAGCGCCTTCAGATGCTTATCCATTATCCTGCAAGAGATAGCAAAAACCAACTTAATCAAATTAGGCAAGCTACGTAAAAGTTTCAGGCATCACAAAAGTGTCAGCTCAGAAAGCTGCATATTCAACAATGATAACCACAGGAAAATTGAAATGCTGTCTTTCAGCAGCAGCAATGAAAAAAAGGCAATAACAATCTCCATTTCCCTTGAAGCTACTTGGTTGAATATTTTTTATAACAATCTCCATTTCCCTTGAAGCTACTTGGTTGAATAATTTTTTTACTCAATTTCCCCATTTTCCCTTTTAAAGTTCCCCATTAACCCTCTACATCAAGTCCACCTTTCTCTTGGGACTTGAGTACCACCCCATTGCCCTCTACCCCTCTCCTCTACACCACCTACCAGCTTCTTAGCTATCAACCACCACCTACCAGCTTCTTAGCTATCAACTCCCAGCCGCAGGCCACCATTTGCCCACTTCCCGACCAACAAAAACCATCCACCCGTCTAACAGCCTCACAATGAATCCACCACCGCCTACAGCCTACACATCTAATCCACCGCACCAACCAACCATCACCATATAAACTGTAGAAACTATAAAGAAAGAGAAGAGAGATACAAATTTGATTAATCTGTTTGCATTGGCACATTGAAAATGGAGATACTCTAGGCCTATATAAATAGGCTTACAACTCTAAAAACTAACAAAGCTATAAAGTAGGAATTAATAACCAAGTGGGTAACAAACACTACACCACTAACTCAAGTACTTTGAATTATGTTCTAATAAACTGATATTTAGGAAAATAATATGCAACTAACGTTCCACTAGTTTTGGAGCACTAATTACTGACTACTTTGAATCAATCCAACATTCCCCCTTGATTCAAAGTCTCATACTATACACTCGACCAAACTTTGCTTCTAACTTCATCGACTTGCAACGACGGACTTTGACTTGAACTCGACACACTTTTTCAAATCTCAATACGAACACATAACCTCACACTCGACTTTAGAAGAGCTTGCAATCTTTTTCTTCAAATTTCATAACATCTTGCTAGGCGTTTCAATTTGTGATGCACATCTCATCACCTACACAAAATTTGTTGATGCACATTATCACCAATACAATATCGTCGGAGCACTTCTCTCCGCACAACCAAACCTCGACATTTTTTATTCATGCAATTCTCATCAAATTCTCGATCTCGTTAATGAACATTTTCACTAACTTACATTCAATGGAGTACAACTCTCCATTAACTCTCTTTGACGTTGTCTTGCATTTTGACCTCGTCGACTTGTTTTGTGATTACTGTTGCAACATCGGAAATCATCTTTGCATTAATTATGACTTCCACACTATCAAATTGCTATTTATCTGACACCCACACACGTAAAGATTACTCGATCTTTACCTTAAACAATTTTTGCCCTCTTTTTCAATTACATGGGCTAAAAGGGAACCCATCAACACAACAAACCAACCATTACTTCCATGGTCAAACACAAACACGCTCACTATTAAATAAAAAAATAAAAAAAATAAATAAAAATAAATAAAAAATTCAATCAATTTGTTTTTTAATTGCTCACAAACAATAGAATCAAGTTGCGTTGCTTGCTTCCATACTCACTATTTTTTTTAATACTCTCTTTCTCCCTTTTTCTTTTTTTCTTCTTCATCTCTTTCCCTTCTCTTTTTCCCGGATCTAACCTGAAACTCTTGATACCACGTTGAAATAATAAAAAGAGATGAGAGAAGGGAAAGAATAATAAAAGTTGTATTCAATCCATTGAAAAAAGTAGTACATAGCAACATATATATAGCGCAAAATAACTAAGCTATAAGGAACATGATCTCATGATCATAGATCATGCTAACATTAACCCACTAAATTAACCCACTACTATTATGAGTCCACTAACACAACTAATACTTAGTAGAGCATATTCTTATACATTAGGAGTTAACTAATCACTAACAATTTGAAGCAAATATTCCAACAAACCACAACTGCACCACTAACGCCTTTAAATATCTGTCACCTCCCATCATCATCTCCTTTTCTATAACTGACCAATCAAGACAAAAAAAGAGACTGAATCGCCAACCTTTTTCCTGAAGCCATGGCTTACTTTTGACTCCTTGGTTGCTTGACATGGTAACCAAGTTTCAGACATGAAATTCTTATCACTTTCACCACCAAGAATGCAAGTTAGTCAATTTTATTTTAAGGCAGCATCGATAGATAAAATGATGAGGAGAGATGAAGGGATAACTTCTGGTGGTTGTGGTGAAGCTTAGTTAGGGTGAAGGACACCTTTGACGAAGTGGGAGGTGGTGTAGTGATGCCAGTGAGGGACAGTGATTCTTCCACTTACAAGTTTCTCGCAAGTTACATCATGTTGGCTCGTTGGTTGTGGCCCTTCGGGTAGATAGAAAGACGTTATTTTTACTTTCTTTTACTTTGGCAATCAAACATTGAATAAGGATTTCAAATTATTATCATTAACCGAACCATACAAATAGATTAAATTCCCTTTCTTGACTCCTTTCACCTCATTTCCTTTACTTGATTTCTTTCCATTTTGAAGGAGTGAGCCAAACAGCCCTTAAATACATTTGGATCCAGTAATCTACACCATGAACATGAATTAGATTCTGTTTGTCTTCTTTCAGCTTTAGAGGATGTTATATACCCGGTGTCTACCACCACTAAGCCAACAAGGAAACAGTAGCACACTAGCACTAGAGGACAAAAGCAATTAAGAAAGCACTAAGGAGAGGGGAAGCATGGGACTGATTCCTCATTCTGTATGGCAGCAGTAGTGGGACAAAAACAATTAATATAAGGTTAATGTTTTGAATGTGGCTTTAGTATATAAAGTGTAGTAGCGAAGGCAATAGGACATTATGTGAACTGTGAGGTAACCTCAAGTTACTAGGAGAGATAACCTAAAGTTATCAAGAGAGTAATAGCCTAAAGCTATTATCCTATCACTTTTGTATCGAAATCTCTGCCATTTTCAATCAAAGACTCGAGCTTTATCTTTAACTTTTCTTGTTCAATAGAACTTATAATCAGAAAATTCTAGACTATTACAGAGGACCTCCTTACCAAACCATTATTCACATTGAACACTGCCAAGCCTTCTCTACTAATTTCTACTATAGAAACTTTTTAACATAAGCTCAAACTCTTGCCCTATTTGAATGAGTAGAACCAAGGTAGTTCATACATAGCATACCATAGAAGAGAGGAAAAATGAAAGACGCGATCACAAAAAGAGGTAGGATGCGCGGCAATTGCAACTGCTAATTGGTGATCATTGGTCAGACCACATAACATTGGGACAAATTTTTTGGCCACAAATTCTTCTATAAACTCAGAAAAATGGCCTTACTAGTTACTACATTAATAATTTGAGCAGGGGGGCATAATCCACAAGATGCCGAGACCCAAAGAACAGATATTTTTTAGCTATAGGCATGAACACAAATTAGAGATGGAATGGGGTATTAGAGTATTAAATATCACTAAGAACATGCCAAAGGAGAAAACGGCCTCAATTATTATTTGATGGCTTCGATAAAATAATTGATATCAATATTAAGTTAAAGAGGCAGAGTAGGCCTTACTTGCATAGATAAAACTCCTGGTGGTAGAAGTGACAGATAACTAATTCGCTGCCAGTAACTTCACCCAAGAAATCCCCTTCAGTTATGTCTCTATATTCTCCATGGCCTTGATTCTTCATTTTTTGTCACTTGTCAGCCTCTTTCTAAGCATATATACCATAGGGTGAATTATTTAATGACTTTTGGTAGCAGATGCCAATACTAAGAGACAACTTAAACCTGTAGTGCTGCAATTCTCTCAGAATGCAGTTTCTCTAGCTCTGGATCCTGGAGTTACAGAAAGAAACAACAGTTGAGCATTTAAGAAAACACATAAGTGCCATGCAACCTAACTGCAAGGGATCTAAAACTTACATCCATCAACTCATCAAGATCAATATCGTCATTAACTGAACTTGATGCCTGTGTCTTCTCTTGAACAATCATTTCCTGTAACACCAGTAAAGTGAACTATTTACCAGCCATCGAAATTCAAAACATCAAAGAGATGGAGGAACACGATTATTCAGCTACAGCAACCCAGCGAGGCTTTAAACATCATCCCTACTAAACCAACTGCTAAAGGTTAAAAATATAGTCTTAGCATCTGTCTCCTACATCTGACTATAGCCATAAACTTTAACACAACAAAAATTTGCCAGCAATAGCATTCCTTCTTGCGAAAGCATATCCACTTAATACTCTCCAACATTAATTTCTAAATATAGATGTAAAATCAAAACTTAAACAAGTGTAGGATTTTCAAGAAAGCAAGCACATTGTGATCCAGAATAAGATAGTATCCCACAAACTAGTAACACTACCTTACAAAGACAAAACATCATACGCTTTGGATATATCACAAACAAAGATACTCCGTATTAGTTTTCGCACACACTATCAACCTTTAAAATCTCATATATGTGCTTCTCATTCTTGGCCACAATGTCAAATTGAAGTTATAACTAACCAACATTCCATATTTATAAATAAATACACACCAACCATTCACTAATTGTAGAATTCAACCAACCCATAAACCCTAGAAATCAAAATTAAGAGTCATACTCCCTTCGTTTCAGATTAATTGACAAAATTCAACCTTTTGCATGATTCATAGTGTACTTAATTGACAAAGAATACACATATTAACAGATCAATAAATTTAAACAAAATATCAAATGAATGTTGAACAAAAAACTGTGTAATAAAGGAAGAGGGGATGATGAATACCTGGAAATCGAGGAAAGGGAAGAATGTGAAGAACTGCAGGCAGGAGAGAAGAGAGTGACGAAAGGGGAAAAGGAGAAGATGAAGATTGTGTAAGTACTTTCTTTTTCAAAGTTTGCTTCATTAAAGGCAAATTTGTAAATGTACATAATGTGTCAAAATACTAAAAACAAAAGGATAACTTAACTTTTGCTACCACCCAAACACTGAAATTTTTTCTATGGAGGCGGATGCTCAATGCTCCGTGCATCCGATTTCTTTTCAAAAAAGCGGAATGAATATTTAGGTGTTCAGTAAAGAACATACAATTATTTTATAAAGAACATTTAGCTATTTTATAAAGAACATCACATATAGTTGTATAGTAATGAACATATTGTTGTTTTGTAAAGAACATATAGCTATTTTGTTAAGTAAACATCGAACTTTATGTTCTTTATATATATTTAAAGAACATCGGTAATATAAATAAAGAACATGATAATTAGAGGTGGCCAACTTCAGCCCGATCCGATCCGGCCTGAAAATAAGGAGGGTTTGGGTAAACCTAAAAATGCATTATAAATCCGACCCCAAAAAAGCCCAAAAATCCCGCTATTCCGAGTTTGGGCACGAGATATTATGTTAAGGCTCGGTCCGACCCGAATTTTTGATCACTTGTAATGATAATTTAATGTAATGAACATTATTTTTATTCAACCACCGTAATCTAAAGACAAAATTCAAAAAAACATTTCAAAATAAACAATTAACATTTTGTCACAAATAAAAGTACATTATACTGACAATCAAATAACATTAAGATAAGAACATTATTTAACATTCTATAGCATGTTCTTTTCATTTTAACGGAATGTTCTTTACATTTCTATACAATGTTCTTTACAATTCTATAACAAGTTCATTTCACTTTAACCAAATGTTTTTTACATTTCTATACAATATTCTTTCCACTTTTATATATATATATATATATATATATATATATATATATATATATATATATATATATATATATATATATATATTGTGCTAATAGATTTGTTGTTTTATTCATTTTATATCGTATAATAATTTTTTTTGTAAAGAATATAGTATAATTTTTGGTTGAGTTACTTATTATTTTTTCATTTTTACCATTTTGTGTTATTTCACTTAAATCATTTGTTATTTTGCTAAAAGATTATTGTATTATCTTACTTACTTTGTGTTATTTTGCTTGAACTTTTTGTTATTTTTCAAATGTATGCTATTTTTACACAACAATATGCTAATATCTTCTGAAAATAAAAAACGAGCTCAATTAACTTTGCTGTTAAAATTTTATCAAATTCTCACAAATATAAAACACTCAATTTGATTTTTTGGGTTTAATATATTTATCTGATTTTGGTAATATTTTTTTTTTTTTTTTTGAAAACTGATTTTGGTAATTTGAACGATTAGCTCTTCAATTAATAATAGAGTGATTGAAGAAGATGGATCTTGAATGTTGCAAATGAATATTGAGATGAAAAATAAAGTAAGACAAAGGGAAGAGCAGGAGAACAAAAATAGGGGAAGGGAACTTCTCGAATTGTCAGTATCTGTAAGACAAATTCCTTGATTCTTCAACTTTGATGAAATAGGTTTAGTTCGGTTCATTAGTATACTACTACATTTAAATAAAATCAAATCGGATTAAAAAAAAATTCAATGAATTCGTTACAAACAAACGATTGTTGCAAGGAACGCATCTTATGAAGTGAAGAGAGAGAGGTACTCCCCAGGAGTACTATAGAAATTGCGAAATATAATCGTCAAATGTAAAAGATTTTTCAAGAAAAACAGAAGAAAAATTCACAAATTAAAAAATATATAAATAAAAATTCACTTAACTATTATTGAACAAGACGTTGACCTTCTTCTCATGAGCTTCAACATGTTGTCAAGTAACATCTTAGCTTCTTTTGTCACTGAACACGATGGATGACTAAAACAAATAAGAATGACTTCCTCCAAAACAAATGAGTTTCTCAAAAAATATTTAACCACTTCCATTTCCCATTGTGTACAGTAGTAGTATTACTATCCTATCCTATTAATTTTTATTTTAATAATAATAATAATCTAGTTAAAGTTGGTACTTCATAATTTATACGTAGTATATGAAAGAATACATGAATAGTGAAAGTCAAGTTATAACGATTAATTAATTGAGAGAGGAGTAAAGGTAAATGACACTAACCTCCATAAAAGTGAGTGTTTCCAGAAAAGGTGCACGGTGTAGGAGCTCTATCAATACGTTATTCCAATTATAATAACCCTCACAGCCAAGCTGCAAATGCTTGAGGTTACCAAACAAAGGCAGCTTAAGATTTATTATTGTACCACAAGCCATCAATGCCTACAAACAAAAGAGCAATATAATACCGTCATTGATCAAATTAAATACTAGTGTATCTACAACTTTGGAATATTTTATATGAAATATCTCAAAGATAATACCCTAAAGTAACAGAGATAGTAAAAAGGTAATTTAAACTTGTTAAAGGATGGATCAAAGATAAAACTAACCATTGTATTTGTAGTCCTTGACATGAGATACAAACTTTGGACATTCGACAACCCGCTGAAAATACCGAATATAGAACCATCAAAATAAAGGTCTGTAACATCGACTTGAGCATTGACTAGATTGTTCATTTTGGTGATGGAGTAGATGACCACCGCAGAGTCCACATACGTTAGATGCTCGAGATTAGGAACATCAAGCTCAAACTCTCTCCTTGGGAGCCTTTTAGTCGTAAAACTCGTAATATCAATCCATGTATTACCAGAAAAATTGATAACTAATCTACGAAGAGATTGTGAAGTAATGAGATTTATATTTATAAAGCATTCAGCATTGAGTACCAAGTCTTGGAGGGATGGACAACTAGCAACTAGCATAGCCACGGAGTCATCGTTAGGAGTGTGCTTAAGAAAAGTAAGATGGATTACCTTCAAGTTTGGCAAATGAATACGAAAGGAGATGTTGAGATCAAGATTATTAACATTAACATCGAGTTTCAACACTTCTAGTGTTGGACAACGATATAGGGCTGAGGGTATCTTACTAGGTTTCCTAACACGAGCTATAATGTCGAGCACCTTAACCCCACAGGCTAAGGGAAAACTGATCCAAGCATCGAGATGCATAGGGTCCAATACAGGGAGACAACCTTCAAAACATAGATTATGGAAACAGCCCTTCCTTTTTCCAAAGTGAAGTATGTATGTGGATATATCCATATTGTTAGAGTGACATAGTTGCAATACCTTATCAACATACATCTTGAAATTAGGGAAAGAATCAATCGTGTGTGGAGTACGCATCAAACAATAGTCATGACAATTAGGTGTGTCATCGAGGTTAAGGTATGTTACCCAAGTAAAAACACGCCTCCATCGCCTTGACAATACACTTGTAGCAACCGCGTCCTTTAAGGGAATGAATGCAAGTATCTCACCTAATATATGATCGGGTAAATGACTGATCCTATCTTCTTTTATGAGTGTTGTACCTTCATTCCCATTTTGGAGCTTGTTGAGCATCATTCCACCACAAAATTCCAAGACACCTAAAAATTACAATTAGAATCACTATTATAATTATCATAGACAATTAATAAGCATAAAATATAATAATACCCAATAATTGAGAAAATTATATCCATTAGAAGTATGTGAGCATTAATCTATGATGTATTATCACCACAAAAACTAACGAAGTATCCATAAGAAAAGATAAACACATAAATTTTATGTAACCAATTTTCCAACGACGTCTATATATATATATATATATATATATATATATATATATATATACTACCTCCGTTACATATTATTTGCAACGATTTAACAAAGTAGAGAAGAAAAATGTCTAATCGTTGCAAATAATATGAAACAGAGGTAGTATATATTAAAACCGAAGGCAAGAATTGTAATCATGCCACGTGTCATTATTTTTGCCATGTGTCATCATTTTTGCTACATGTCGTCATGAATTGATAAATGATGTGGGGTTGATGTGGGGTCATGTGATTCATGTCATATTAATACTAATCATCAATTTTTCTTCACAAAAAATTAATGTTCATAAATTCTAATTTTTTAATCCTCATTCTTTCGTTTGCTCATCTATAATTTAAAGAAATTTATAACGGCAGATAAAAATTCAAAACAAACTAATATCAAGTATAAAAGTTAGGTTAGTGCATATTTCATAATTCATAATGAATTTTGTTTTGTTCAATAAAACTTAAACAAAAAAAATGATTTTTTTTTTTAAATTGTAAAACCATCAATAGATTTCACTTTAATTTATTAAAGTTATTTTTTTAAAACAATTTACTATAGTTTTTTAAATAAAAAAATTTGACCCGGGGCATAACTCGGGCCTCAAACTAGTTGACAAATTAATACTCTTACTCAAATACTCATACTAATACTCCCTTTATCCCTATTTGTTTACCCCGACAAAAAAAAAAAAAAAAGGGGGGATTATATTGTTAATAATACCATACAGCTAATATTGCAATCCAATTAAGTATTTTTTTTTAAATTTTTTGCCTCAATTATCTTCAGCTATGCATCATAAACATTATATTGTTAATTAATAGAGACGAAGATTCCAATTGAGTATTTTTTTTTTTCCTTTTCTGATTATTACGATTAATTGTTAAGGTTAAATTTGCTCTCTTCAAATGAAAAGTTCTGAATGGAACCGCTAATAATCATTCATGATTATTTAAGGATTAACACGATTGCACAAAAATGAATACAAACACATTCAACTGGACAAATTAAATATATATCATGAGACATTAGAATTGGTAAACAAATTTATTTTGAGTTACCTGAATGATGCTCTGGAGGTGGATCGGAGGCACCCATCTATCTCAATCCAAGATCTGAATATAGTCTTTATTAAATTAAGGTTTTTTTTTTTTTCCTAGAATGGAATCCCAACTTTTATTGAGATGAAAATTGAGGGATATATATGGAGTACAAATCAGTTGGGTGTTGTTATTTGTCGCTCCCATTTTACCGGGTAACGGTCCCTTTTTGTCTTGAAATTCCAATTTTACCCCTAATATATAAATACGGTTTTTTTCTTCCCGACCAACATTTCTCACTTTCTTACTTCTCTCTCTAACTCTCTTACTCTCCAACTCTCTTACTCTCTAACTCTCTAAAACACTCTATTTAAAAAAAAAATTCAAAAAATTTTCTTCATTTTTTAAAAAAACAAAAATCATCATAAACACAAAAAAAAAGGGTGATTCGAGGCGGATTAGGCTGAGATTCGGAGGGAGAAGCTTCAACGGCGCTGGTGGCAGCGGCGGTGGCGGCGATGGTGGCGAAGAGGTAATTTTTTTTTTTTAATTTCGGATCCCAGGAACTTCCGCCCAAAAATTTCGGAAGTTCCATGGAGGATCCGTCTGGAAATTTCGGATCCTCCATGGAACATCCGGAATTTTTGGGCGGAAGTAACATCCGCCCAGAAATTCCGGATGTTCCATGGAGGATCCGGAAATTCCAGGCGGATCCTCCATGGAACTTCCGAAATTTTTGGGCGGAAGTTCCTTTTTTTTATTTTTTTTTTTGCCCGTTAATAAAATTGTTAATTTAAATATTTTTTTTTTCGGATTTTGTTTTTTTTTGTTATTTAGAAGTGTTATGGTGATTATTGTTGATATTATTATTATTGTTGTTGTTATTATTATGGTTAGTATATTTTGTAATGTAATTATTTTTAAAAATATGATAATTTTTATTATTTTGTTGATATTAGGTTTTTATTATTAATGTTAAGGTTATTGTTTTTGTTGTTAATTTGTTTTTTTTTTTTTTGGATTTTGTTATTTTTGTTGTTATTTTGAAGTGTTATGGTTAGTATTATTATTATTATTGTTATTATTATTGGTGATATTATTATTATTATTATTGTTATTTTTATTATTATTATTATTATTATTAGTGTTATTATTTTTAAAAATATGATTAGTATTATTATTAAACTAATTTGATATTAGGGTTTTTATGGTCATTGTTGTTGTTTAATTTTTGTTGTTGTTGTTGTTGTTGTTGTTGTTGTTGTTGTTGTTGTTGTTGTTGTTGTTGTTGCTGTTGTTGTTGTTATAATAATATTATTATTATTGTTATTAGTTGTACTATTATTAATATTTTTAATTATGATTAGTATTATAGTTGTTGATATTAGTGTTATTATTATTGTTATTATGGTTATTGTTGTTGTTGTTAATTTGTATTTGTTGTTGTTGTTGTTGTTAGTTAGTTAGTTATTGTTGTTGTTAGTTAGTTAGTTATTGTTGTTGTTAAGTTTATTTGTTGTTGTTAATTTGTATTTGTTGTTGTTGTTGTTGTTATTATTGTTATTATGGTTATTGTTGTTGTTGTTATAATAGTATTATTATTATTATTATTATCATTACTAAAATCGGATTATTTTTTTATTTTATGTAGATCGAGGGTTCTGGTGCTCGACATGCAATATCACGGCGTCTGAATGCGTCTGTTAGGAGACAAACATCTCGATCTTCACCGCTTCAGCCCAAGCAGCAGCAATACGGGTGTACTAGTGGTTGGTCGAGAGACCAACAGTCTGGTAGTAGTCGGCCCTTGTACTCTGCAAGTGGAGCACCCATATCTGACGAGGAAGAAGAATGTTCGACTAGTCATGCTGGTGACCGGGATGAAGAACAGGACCCTCAGGATTTCCATATGGTATATAAGGGTCAGTCTGGGAGATTTGTTGGTAGTGGATCGAGTCAGCCTACTTCCAGCTCTGCAGAGGCATGGTTAGTGCAGGAACCGATGCCGGGTGGGCCTGAGGATGGGTCAGTAATCCCTAGTTTTGGCGGTCACGTGGCACGGTATATCTGGATGGAGCAGGAGCGTAGTGTTTTGCGTTGTTTGAGTAGGACAAAGTTATGTTCTGACTTGTTCACTTGGCGAGGTCGTCAATCTGTGGAGGACCTTGCGGCGATTGATGCTAGTTGGTTGTCTCACTTGCCCGGCCTGATGTTTAAGAGACTTGATTGGCCGTTGATTTCTGCTTTTGTTGAGAGGTGGCAGCCAGATACGAACACCTTTCACATGCCATTTGGGGAGATTACGATCTTGCTGCACGATGTGTACAACATACTTGGGTTACGGGTTGCAGGCAATATGGTGACCACTACTCCTAGCACAGACGTGTTACGGGACGCGTGCTCGGTCACCATGGATATGACTCCAGATGATCTGTCTGAGGTTTGCGGCACAAAGACCATTTGGCAGGGTAGTGGGGTGTTGACTGATAAGATTTTTGAGTCGACATTGGCGGTTGACCGGGATTTTAGTGAGCAGCTTGATGCATACTTGTGGTTAGTGCTTGGAGGTACACTGTTTGTAGACAAGAGTGGTAACCGTACGCATCTTTCCTTCCTCCACGAGCTATGTCACACGGATGTCCCTATTAACGAGTATGCTTGGGGAACAGCTGCACTGGCCTACTTGTATCGGCAACTGGGCACGGCATCACGGAAAGGTGCTGATTCGATTGCTGGTTGTCTCACGCTTCTGCAAGCGTGGATTTACGAGTACTTTCCGTGCTTTCGGCCACAGCAGGGTACCTTGACCCGGGACCTTCAAATGCCTCGTGCGTCTGCTTAGGATGTTGGAGCGGGATGTCCTAGCAAGAACCTGGAGCGCCTGTTAGCTTTTCGTACTAGGATTGATGCGCTTACTGACCCTGAGGTGAACTGGCTACCGTACGGAGCTGATCCTGCATTACGAGTGCCTCCCACTTTATTCATTGGCTGCATCCAGTACCGTAACATCATTGAGTCGTACATGCCTGATAGAGTGGTGCGCCAGCTTGGTTTCGTGCAAGGCATTCCCCGCGAGATCATCAGGCCAGAGAAGGCCAAGAGGCCGACTAACTTGAAGATGTATCGGGTAGACTTCCCAACTGAGATGACAGCTGTGATGTGGAACAGGTTTGTCCCTGGGGTATCTCAGAGTGTTGTTTTAGGTGCCCTACCCAGGCTTAGTGCTGCAGCTCCTTCGGTTGCGCCTGGTTACATGCAGTGGATGTACAGGTTTTCTCACCCGCGGGTATCTCCAGGTGCAGGAGTTACAAGCAACCTGCCTGAGCAGACTAACACTGATTACGTAAGTATTTATACTTATTATTATATTAACAATGACTTCTATGAATTTTTGTGTTTATAATATGTTATTGTTTGATTTGCAGTGGATGGGTCGGTCCATGGAGATTCACCAAAGAGCACTAGCTGAGTATCCTGAAATGTCGAGTGAGACTCGAACAATGACTGAGCAGCTTGTATTTGATTGGAGGTCAAAAATGGGACTTTAGATTATGTTGATTAGATGTTCTGTTAGTGGTTTTAATTATGTTATGAACTTATTTTTAATTTTTTTTAAAATGTAATGCATAAACTGGACACTTATTTTATTTTATATTTGATGTTTTGTTGCATATCATGTTAGATTAAAAGCAAATACATTTAAAATTAATTTCATAATTCTAATTTTGTTACAAATGTTCAAAGTTAGTGAATGTACATTACAAACTACCTAACTAATGCATCCCACATGTCCCTTCTCAATTGATATGCTTGATCCCATCCATTGACACTATCCTCGTGGTGTTCCGTCCACCAACCGGCGATCGGCGGGAGTGGTGAATCAGGTACAAGGTCAAGACGGATAAAATGTGATCCACCAACTGTAGCAATCACAAACTCTCGAGTCGGTGACCGAACCCCGTTGCGTGCCCTAAGCGGTAAGACTGTGATGCATGGGTAGTAGCAAGTTGGTACTAGGCCTACTCCGAGACAAATCACACTTGCGTTGAACCACGTAGCAATAGGAAATAAATCTTGAATTGTAACCATCCAATGTCGCTCCCCGACAGCCCCACCATCCCATCGAATACGCTCCACGTTCATCCAAAGTCGCCCAAGCCCGTAAATCCGTTCGTACAAAGCAGGATGACCAGCGATCTTGTTCGCTATTGTTTCCCGAGCGTCAAACCACTGATTTTGATCGCCAAAGAAGAAGTCGGCGACACAACGAAAGCCACAGTTCCCATCACCAATGACATCCTTCCAAAACGTAATGTACGGCAACATTGGGGCTGGAAGCAAGTTCAAATACCTGCATTGACTAATGTCACTTGGATCTACAACACAAAATTAAAAGATAAATTATTAGTAAAGCTACAAGTATTAAGTTTACATATTTTTATATTAAATATAGAATTTTAGTATTACCTGGTTCTGGGTCACCACCACGTTGAGTGTGTTGACGGTTCACATGCTCGAAATAGCTACGATCACGCCTAGTGTTATTTCTCTTCGGTCGACCACGAGTGTTAAGGTTGATATGTGGTTCTTCAAGGTGTGAATGATCTGGATGTAGCTCCTCTTCAATGATTCGCGTTACATTTCGACGTACGGCCGGGTCACTTTCCATGACTTCGTCGATTAGGGACCGAAAATGTGCAGCCTCCTCGGTCGAATCATTTACCACTTCAGGAATGTTAACACCATCACCAATAACCAGTATCTTCTAGAAAGAATGAATTTGGCTGCTATACAATCCTGTCTGTGCAACTATCGAATCATGTATCTGGCAAGCACATGGAAGACCATGGGTCATACGCATAGCACATCCGCACCGTTCATGGACCTGGTAACTCAAATCCCGCATCCTTTTCGTCTCCTTATCCAGAACTTTCAAACAATGTTGAGACACTTTGCCATTTATACGTGACAGCGGCAACTGTCTGTACATCTGACCAATTTTAGACCTTGATGCCTCCAACTCATTACGAATTTGTATGATGCGATTACCAATATGATAATGGACTCGGGCCCATACGGTATCCAAAGCACCTGCCAATGATTCTAATTAGTTAATTCAAATACAATTACAATTTCGTAACAACCAGAACAACTAATAAAATCATAAAACTAACCTGTGGATGATTCAAACCAAGTTTTCACTGCTGAATGTTGGCTCTCAACTCTGCAGTTGGTGGTGTTACCAAAATGAAGAATCTGGTTCGTCCAAAATTTCACAAATTTCTCCTTATGACAAAGCCATGTTCTCTGAACATACTGAATCACTTCCGGATATTTTCCCCACCTCACTTGCATGGCAGTTAGAGCACGATCATACTCCGCCTGTGTTGTTGCATTCACGATTTTGAACCATCTCCCAGCTCTAAAACTGACACCAGCCGTCTTGTTTCCAAACATCTTCGTCACCTTAGCCTCCACATCTCTGTTGATGTGCCATAGACAGAGTAAATGTGACGTCCCTGGAAAGACTTCTCTCAAAGCCGCACAAAGCCCAAGATCACGGTCTGAAATAAATACAGATGGCTCTATATCAAACCCAATCAACTCCCTTAATCTCTGCAACACCCACCGATAGCTAGTCGTGCACTCGTCGCGCATGAAAACATATCCAACTAGAAAATTCTGGTTTGTCGGTGTCACGCCTACTACCTCAAAGAAAGGCATGTTATATCGATTGGTCTTGTAAGTAGAATCCATACCTATGACATGTGGGTATGTGCGGAGTATGTTGACCATGATCGGGTGCACCATAAATGCATGTTGCAAAACGTTGTGATCATCTTTCGTGACCCAGTAAATGTATTTACTCTCTCTCGCCAGATGAAGAAATTGCTGAACAACTCCTCTTCCTTCGGACATCTCCATCCTGAAGTCATTTCGGCAATTGTAAATGTGTCGGATGTTTGGATGATCATCAGGAAATTGCTCGGCAATAGTGGACATGATGTTACGGGGAGCAACCTTGGACTTTGTCATGTCCCGCACAACCTGTTTTGCACCCGGACTCAATCCGCTCACTTTACGGTGACCCTCTGGGTACACAATCATTGGGTGGTTATGTGTCCCGATGTGATCATTTTTCGCAATGATCTTCCAACTTTCGGTGCTCACGTCATAATATATCTTGATGTAGAATGGACAACCATTAGCTTTGGTTTTGGTGTCCTTCCGTATCGCGTTCTCCAAATCTCTCGGCTTGCTCCTTCGTGACCGATCACATCGCAAATACCGATACGGCCGACCATCTTTGGTTTTGTTATAAGACGATTTCACCAATATAAATCCCAATTTTATGGAAACACCATCAGCCCATGTAACTGCATCGTCAAATGTAGGAAAAAACGTATCGGTGACAAAATTCCCACTATAATTCACACCGTCACCGCCTTCCTCAGATTCCATATCCTATAATTATTAAACAAAACATGCTTTATGTCAAAATAATAATAATAATAATTATTATTATTATTATAATTATAATAATAATAATAAAAAAAACAATACTAATAATAATAAAAATAATAATAATAATAATAACAATACTAATAACAATAACAACAAATACAAATACAAAACAATAACAATATTAATGATAATAAAAAATTATAATAACAACTACAAAACAATTTATAAGACCATAACATTAATTAATTAATAAATAATAATAATAATAATAATAATATTTTCAATAATAATAATAATAATATAAATAATAATAATAATAATAATGAAACAAAAAATAAACATATTACTAATAATCATATTAATACAACAAAATTACATTAATTATCAAATACTAAATCACAACAATAATCACAAGACCACAAAAAAATACATCAAAAAAAAACTTAATAAACATAAAAAAAATTAAATAAACGTACTTAACATTTAAAAAAAAAATATGAATAGGGACATCCGCCTAAAATTTTCGGATGTCCCTTGGTACATCCGCCTAAAATTTCCGGATGTACCATGGAACATCCGGATTTTTTAGGCGGATCCCATCTTCCGCTTGAAATTTCCGGATGTTCCATGGTACATCTGGAAATTTTAGGCGGATGTACCTAGGACATCCGGAAATTATAGGCGGATGTCCTAATTACCGAAAATAAAATAAAAAAAACTTACAGAATGATCCGACGCATTCTCCGGCGTACGTATGTTCCACTCGTCGTCCATGACCCAAGACCCGTCGGAAAATTTCACGATTTTTAAAAATAGAACATTTAGGTGGTCGTGGGGACCGATTTGGTTGCAAGGCCATGGGGACCGATTTTGGGAGGCTCGGGACAGCAATGTCGTGAAGTGAGGGGACCGTTTCATGTATGGTGTCCAAATGGGGAACAAGGTCCTTTTTATAACACAAATTGCATAAAGGGCATAGTGGTCCATTCAAGTTAAAAAGGGAGCGTTACCTGGTAAATTGGGAGCGACAAATAGCAGTTGAGAATCAGTTAGATCCGGTTTTCCTTGAGAATGAAAAAAAAAAAGAAAAAGAAAGTCAGCCAGTTCGATGTTTTCGATGTGTTTATGAGTTATGACACAATGCCTTCATGTGTTAACCAAACAACATTTATATTTTTGCTCCTATTTTTTGGGCTTTTCTGTTTTTAGAATAAGGTACAACTGTACAAGGTTGGTTTTTTTTATTTATTTATTATTTTTTTTTTAATAATATACAACCTCCGGAACACATTATATGCAACTTTTGCCAAAAACGGAAAATTCATATTAGATGCAACTTTCCCATTCTTTTCTTTTTTAGTAATTTTTTTAATATCATAAACACAATTAAGCAACTAAATTAGATCGGGGTTTAAGAGGTTTTTAGGGTAGTTTCGAGTAGATCGAGGTTAGTGGTGGAACGTTTTGATTGGTTTTGGGGTTTTCGGGGTGGGTTTGACGGGACTTGGTCGGGGTTAATGGTGGTGTGGGTTTAGGGTGGTTAAGGTGTTTTGGGGTGAGTAAGGGTGGGTCGAGGTGGATCGGGGTAAGTGGGAGAAGATTTCTGGTGTTTTGGGGTGAGTGGGGGGGGTTGATTTCGAGTTGCTTAAGTGGTGGTTATTGGTGAGCAAGGTGGGTTTGCGGTGGTTCTGGGTGAGTAGTGGTGGTTTTGCGATGGTTTTGGGTGAGTAGGGTGGTGGTTTTGCGGTGGTTCTGGGTGAGTGGTGGTGGTTTGCGGTGGTTTTGGGTGAATGGTGGTGGTGGTGGTTCTGGCTATGGTGGTAGCCTAGTGGGCTGACTGTTGTTGTTGTTGGTGGTGATTAATTGTCTTCATTCTCTCTTCTAGCCTTAATTACTTATTCTTTAATTCATTAATTAATTATTATGAAAAATTTTCTTGGGTTCCGTGCAGTGTTTTGCATATACACAAATAGAGACATAGAGTTGATCATGGATGGAAAAACTTGCTAAGCCCGGTCCTCTTGTCCCACTTATAAACGGGCTTGGACAATTATTTTCAGAAAAAAATAATAATTAAGAGGGCTTAGCTCGGCCCGCTAGTGTTAACAAGCGGAATATGGCCGCAAATTTTTGCCTAGGTGTAGGTAGCGGCACTTGCACCCCTCTTACTTTCATAATGACGTCATCCTATATTTTTTCGGATTTCGAATCACATATGTAAATGTTCAATTTTGAAACCATATATTGATCAATATATAGTGTTACAAGACTAAATCT